ACAGGTCAGCCCTGCAAAGCTTAGGCTTCCGCTGCCCCGCCCTGTCTACCGGCGACAAGGCCGGTCCGGCCCCCCCGCGTCCGCTGCGCAGCAATTTCCCGGTGGTTTTTGAGATCTTCTCTGGTTCTGCTCGCATCACAACGGCTTTGCGTTCTTTTTGGCCGCACTGTTTCGGCGTGGATTCTAGGCCTTCGTCCGAAGCTCGTTCTCATACTTTGGTGGCAGACCTCAGTTCGCCAGCCGGGCAGGACTTGCTGTGGCATTGGTTGCGTTGCCCATATCTCGTGGGGTTGTGGATTGCTCCACCGTGTGGGACGGCCAGTCTCGCACGTTGCATCCCGGTGTACGATGCTGCCGGTAACGTTGTACCGTCGCCGCCTCCCTTGCGCGACTCGGCCCACCCAGACGGCCTGCCAGGCCTTGAAGGCCTTCATGCTGTGCGAGTTTGCCAAGCGAATATCTTGTATTCCTTGGTTCAGGAGCTGTGTGCTTTCGCTGACCAGGCGCAGATCATGGTGGCAGTGGAGAATCCTCGCGGCAGCCTCTTCTGGTCTACTTCATCCTGGCGCCGAGCTCAGCCCTACTGTCCCTTTTGGACTTGCTTCCAGAACTGTGCTTTCAAGGGTCGCAGGCCCAAATGGACGGCCATCGCCCACAACCACCCCTCCTTCACCGCCCTCGCCCGTACTTGTCCTGGTGCCAGTTGCGCTTCGCAACATTTGCCCTGGGGGCTCACCCCGTCCCACACCTGGTCCACTAGTGAGGAGTGCGCTTATCCGCCTTTTCTTGCTGTCTGCGTGGCGCGTTGCTTTGCCCGGGCCGTTGAGGTCGCGCCGCCTTCTGAGCCGTCCATTGCGGCCATCCGCGCCCGCACTGGGTTGCAGCCCAAAGCATCTTCTTATGCCCCCCTGGTGCCGGAACACAAGCAAGTTGTTGTCTTGCGCGGTCCCTCCGTTCTGCTCGACGAACTGCCTGTCGAGCCCATGGCCCGCTTGAAGAAGGAGTGGGCGCCTCCGCCTTCTGTTGCCCCGGCCGGGGCCCTGCCCACAGGCTCACAGCTTTTGCGGTCTACTCCTCTTACGGTTAATATGGGGTTGCCTGACACTGACCAAGTCCCCACAGGTGCCGCTTTGCAGCCCGAAGTTCCCCCACAAGGTACCACCGAGGTTGCTTGGGGCATTCCCTTTGAACCACAAGAGTTTGTGAGAGCCGCCGTGGCCAAGGGGCATCCTCGTACTTTCAGCGCTTTGCTGCCAAGTGTTTTGGAAGAGGCCATTGACTTCAATGCAAGCCATACCTTGGCTGAGACTGCAGAGGTCAGGACTGGTTGGTTTAAGCACTGGTTGAATAGGATGGGGGCTTTAAAGGAGGAGGAGGAGGCGGCTCTGAAGGCATCGATGCCTCCAGAGCGAGCAAAGGTGCTGGAGGGGAAGAACCTCCTGCTATGGCAGGAAATGTTACGTGCCAGCGGTTATCCGGATCTGGGAGTCGTAGATCTGATGAAGGAAGGTGTCGATCTTGCAGGCCAGGTGCCAGCTTCTGGGCTTTTTGGACCTTGTTTCAAACCTGCCAAGCTGTCCCCCGCTGGTCTAGCACAGCAGACTCCCGAAGTTCGCCGGAAGATTCTCGTTGCTGCATCCAAGCCATCTGAGCATGATGATGTGATATGCCAGAAGACAGCTGAGGAATATGAGAAGGGCTGGGTTTCAGGTCCGCTGGACCCCAGCTCGTTGCCCTCAGATGCAGTGATCAACAGGCGCTTCGCCATTCTTCAGAAGGATCGGCCCAGGGTGATTGACGACTGCAGCGCTTCCCTTCTGAATGATACAGTGCAGAAGACCGAATCTCCCCAGCCTCAGAGTGTGGACTTGATCGCAGCCATGGTTCTGGCAGCACTTCAGCGTTTGCCAGGCAAGGCCATGGTCGGGAAGTGCCTGGACTTGAAAGCTGCCTACAGACAGGTTCCTGTTTCAGCCGCTGGCCTGATGTTTGCCTTTGTTGCATACTTCTTCCCTGCAGAGGCCAAATGTGTGGTGAGACAGATGTATGCGCTTCCGTTTGGTGCCAGCAGGGCTGTGTATGGGTACCTTAGGATAGCGTATAGCTTGTGGTGGTTAGCAGTTAAGAACCTTAAGCTCATGATGACGCACTTTTTCGACGACTTCGTCAACATCTGTAGATCCGAGGAGCAGGTCCACGTGGAAAGAGTCCTGCATGGATTCTTTGCACTGCTTGGCTGGAAAGTTTCGGAGGACAAGGACCATGGGTTCCAGGAAGAATTTACGGCTCTGGGGATATGGGTTTCCTTCAGCAGATTCCTTCACTCCGAGGTCTTGTTCTTCAACACTCCCAGCCGGATACAGGAAGTTTCGGCCTATCTGAACTCGCTCCTGGAGGTTAGAACGTCCACCAAGAAGGAACTGGAACGGATCAGGGGACGCATGCTTTTTGCTGGTGGCCAGCTGTTTGGAAGGTTGGGCCGAACTTGTGTTAAAGCTCTGCAGCAGGCAGAAGCCGACCCTCAGTGTGTGATCACCGACGCCATGGCTTCAGCCATAACCTTGTTCATTGACCTCCTCAGAAATGGCCCGCCTAGGATGATCTCCAATCTTTCCGCACAACCCTGCTACATCTTCACAGATGCGGCCTTTGATAGGGCTGGTGGTTCTAGCCGTTGTGGGTTGGGGGGAGTCCTCATAGGACCTGACGGGATGCCTCGTAGGTTCTTCTCGGTAGAACTTCACGAGTCCTTCCAGCGAGCCTTAGGCGTTGATGAATCCAGTACGATTATCTTTGAAGCCGAACTTTGTGCCGTAGTTTTGGCCTATGTCCTCTGGAGAGATGACATCTGTTCGCGACCCATCGTTTGCTACATAGATAATAACGCCACAAGGGACGTCCTCATCAGTGGTTCCGCCCGCAACCAGGTAGGTGCCAGGTTGGCTCGGCTGCTCCTTACGGTGGAGACCTTGGCCAAAACCTTCAGTTGGTTCGCACGAGTGCCCAGTCCGTCGAACTTAGCCGACGAGCCTTCCAGGACCCTCATGTCTACCTTTCAATTTGAAGGCGTGGTTTTGGAAGCAGATTCTTGCCAACAAACCTTGGAGATGATTCTTGCTTGATTGCGGAGATCCCTTCTTGTCTTGGGGCGTTAGTTTGGGTTTCGGTTAAGTTGGGGATTGGTGCATGCTTCCCAGTGTTATGTCTTTGCCGCCAGCTGCAAAGGGGCCCGTGTGCCCAGCTTCACAGGTTGCCCAAGGTATAAGGTGAGGCTTTGTGTGCACCGACTCCCACAGTCTCCACGTGAGAAAAAGAAGAAGCGAGTGCAGTGCTTTTATGCATAGTGATGACATGCTTGGGAATCCTTTTGGGAGAGTCTTATGCACTTCGAGTTTTGCTGTTTTCCCTTTTCCGGGTTTCTTTGGCTCAAGACTTTAAGCTAACGGTCAACGGGTTGATAGTGCATTAAAGTCTGAGCCTAGAGAAAAACCCCTTTGTGTTTCTTTGCTAGCTCGCCTGAGCTTTGGGAGAAGGGAAAACTTTCTTTCATTGGCCTTTTGCACTCATTTTCCAGTCTCTGACACCATTGCTTGCGCATGTTCACCGGTTCAAGTGCCTTGTGAACGATGAGCATCTGCAAGTTCTTGGAGCTGCCAAATGTTTTGCATCAAGCTTTGAACACTAGACTCAAGCTTCTGCAATGTGTCAAAATTTCTCCCGCCCTGCCCACCCTGTGTCGGGTCGCCTGGCTTCCCTCTTGTGCTCGTCCTGCCGAGTGTCTTGAGTAAGCCAGTTGGTCGCGGTTGTGACGGCCTTGTTCCCACCTGCCCGCCCTTCCTCTGGCAAGCTTCACACGCGTGCTCGCCTCTGCGCGCCTTTCTCAGAATGTCCTGCGTTCGCTCATGTTCACCAACATTGGAGCGCCTGCTGGTTCTTGATGTTGCTCATGGCTGCCAGCATTGGAGCGCCTACCGGCTTGTGCCTTGCGTTCGCTCATGTTTGCCATACACCGAGCTCTGACTGTTAACGATGCAAACTCTTGCAATGCTTGAGGGGATCAGCTTGTGCCTCCCAAGGGGATTGGTGCATGCTTCCCAGTGTTATGTCTTTGCCGCCAGCTGCAAAGGGGCCCGTGTGCCCAGCTTCACAGGTTGCCCAAGGTATAAGGTGAGGCTTTGTGTGCACCGACTCCCACAGTCTCCACGTGAGAAAAAGAAGAAGCGAGTGCAGTGCTTTTATGCATAGTGATGACATGCTTGGGAATCCTTTTGGGAGAGTCTTATGCACTTCGAGTTTTGCTGTTTTCCCTTTTCCGGGTTTCTTTGGCTCAAGACTTTAATGTTCTCTTAATGCAAAGCTGTGCAGAGACTTGCCCAACGTCGGAGTGCGCGAACTGTCCCGTGTTTCGAAGTTATCAAGTGTAAACTGAGCTGTTGGAGAATTGTCACGAAAATTGACAGTATAAAGAAGACCAAAAGTGGTAGAACAAAGGGAGGTTTTCGTCGTACGAAGTCATACACGCCATGAGTAGAGGTGTTTTTTAGAGAATCGAGGGCATTTAAAAGTTTCCCCACAAACTTGAAAAAAGTCGAGAGCATCACTGTCAGCCCCATATGTAGAGGACAATACAAGAAGTGAGCCGAACATGTCATGTGCGATTTTTAGCAGCTGTACATCACGGTTGTGTTGGTGAATGCTCACGGAGTGTTTCGATTTTTCTAGGTTGTGATTTTGTGAAACCAATGGGTTGCAGCATGCACACCGCGATTCTTGGAACGCGACAGTTGGCCGTAGCTTTGTTTTAGGCTTACGACGATTTCGCGAACGCATGTAGACCAAGTGGGAAAAGATATATTGGGAATGGCTGCTGGTGCATCACGAATACTTGGAGCTCCTGCACTGGCAAACCAACACTTCCCAAAAGCGTATTGACAGGTCTGCTTGCTCCGCATGCTTTTGCAAATCAGCCCTGCAAGTGCATGAGGTTGTCGATCGCAGCAATGGCGCAAAAGGCCGTTTGGCAGCCCCGGCTGGCCAAGAGAGTTCTCCAAATTCCGGGCAGCGGAATTCGAGAGGCAAGGAAGCCAGCAACATGTGTCATCAATCGTGTCATGGCATCTGCTTGTTTCTATGTGCTAACATTGCGGATGCCATTTGGGAGCTCAACGGTATATTGTTGCAGCATGGTGCTTTGGGTTGTTGTCAGTTGTGTTCCATGCATCATATTTCGTCCATGGGGTGATTCTTGAGATTCCTGGTTCATGCCAAATCCAGGCAGGGTGTATGTTTTGTTGACAATATGTTATGGAGCTTGCGTGTGGGATTGTTATGTGTTTTTCATGGCCGTACTGCTTCGTTTTGTTCGGGATTGTGCTGATGTGTGGCTTTCATCTGACAAAGCCGTGCCACGGCGACTGAGCACTTCGGAGCAACGGCCAAACTCACTTCCCAAAGCATCGCAACGAAGCAACATTTTTGTAAGTTCAGGTAGTGCTTCACCTTCAATTGTCATATTTTGGTGCATCTTGTTCTGGTATTCATGCGTGGAAGCGTGCTGCAGCATGCGATCAGGATTATGACACGTGCGTGGAAAAAACGAATATAAAACATAATTTTCATGTTTCGAGCTATCTGTTGTTGCTCTCCGTCACCCGACGGACGACATGTCTCACCTGGCGACCCTGGGCAAGCCTGACCCGGTGTTCATTGCATTGTGGTTGCATGTTCTTGTGGCCTTTTTCGCAATGACGGAGCAAAGCAAGGGCTATATTTGTCCGACCGTTCCTTGATCTGCCTCATGAAGCTGAAGGTTCTGACCTGGGGTTAGACGCTTTTATTGTTTTCAACGTAATTGTGCACGATGCCAAAGCTACCAAGGCTTGCTCTGGAGACCCCCCTCTCCAGTAGCCGCATGCTTCCCGTCTTACAGGTCATGAGCAAGTGCATGGCGCTGCGCGATGCGGGGAAAGATGTCATTAACTGGCACATAGGCTACAGCCTCGGCACTCATGCAAAGCCTCAACCCCAAACATTTACATGTCACAAAGCCGAGGCCGGCCCGATTTCGATACTCCTGTGCACATCAAGGAGTGCACGTGCACGGTGACCCTGTTTCTTGTGGACTCTTGTTGTCTTCTGCCATCCATCAAGTAGGAAAGGCTCTAGAACAATCTTTTATGTTCAATCATGTTCGAATCATATTCGAATCATTTTGGGCAAATACCGGGTGCCACAGGAGGCGTGCTCCGAAGCTCTTCGCCAGGGCCACGTGCACTATGCCCCAGCAGCTGGCATTCCCCAACTTCGGTCTGCGCTGGCGGGGCGTGCCTCGCAGGCAGCTCTCGCAAAAGTCAGCATGCAAGAAGTGCGTAAATTCAGCAATGTGCTATAGTAACCCCTTTAGGCTGAGCCAGAGCCTCGCAAAAGTATCGGCATAGATACCTCAAAGGAGTACGCCTGCGAAGTGGATCCCGACCGCATCGTTGTTTGCAATGGGGGCATGGAAGCAGCAGCTCAGCTCTGAAAGAGCACCCATCGTACATGTAGTGACCTAATGATGTGCAGGCAAGCTTCGTGTTTTGATGCTGGTGATTCAGGTTGCAACTTCTGACCATCCCTGCCAAGATTTGCCAAGGTTACTGTGATCCTACACACCTTCCTGAACGATGGTGATGAGGTTATAGTGCCCACGCCCAACTGGCCCAACATGAAGTGGGCCGTGGTGATGGCAGGCAAGAAAGTTTGCACTTACGCAGCTTGAAAAGCCCCATTGCAGCCCGAGTGAGCCAAGTTGCTGTATGGCCAAAGGAGAACATGTCGCTCGATCTTCAAAGTCCAAGTTTTCATCCATGAAATAGAAGTTCGCTCCACACTTGCCTTTCTGCAGGTGGGAAACCTGTGGAGGTGCCCCTGAAGAATGGCATCCTTACGGCCGAGGCTCGGCCAGTTCTGAACTCAGTATCGATTTCAACAGGGTCTGCCTGCTCCCAAAGGCCATTGCTGCAGCGGTGACGCACAGGACAAAGGTCGGCATTGGTTTCTAAGCCACTTTCTCTCTGCGCTTGCATTGCGCGCTAGTGCAACGTCGGATTATCCAGAGTTTTTGCTGTGCATGTGCAGTGTGCGCAGTTTGCCGTGCTGTCTTCGCCTGGAAATCCACTTGGCACCGTTACTGGATCAGATGAGCTGAAGCGCATCAGCCGTGTTCTGGAAGACAAAGATTCTCTGAGTGTTTTCATTGGGGGCCCTTCTCAAGGTGAGTGCTGGTATGAGGGATGACTCGACAGGATGTGAGGGCATAGACAAGGATAAGTTAAAACGATTGGAACTCGATTCCAAGAAAATCGTTCTTGTGCAAGTGCAATCAAATAGACAGAGCTGTTGATAAATGATAATTTCGCCGGGCTTGCCGTTCCAAGACGTGCGTTATGAGCCCAAGGATCTGATGGCGATTAGTGATGAGACTTACACCAGGCAGCTCACTTGCATCTGGGGAGTATGAACACCCCTTTTGCAGTCACTTCATACGTGTTGACTGCCCTGGCACGTCTTCGCGCATGGCGCTACTGACAAAAACTTTCTCAGCCAAATGTTGTGTCTGGACACGCAGCCACTCTACTGAGCGAGTGTTCAGCGTTCCTGAGTTTTAACACTCGACTAGGCAAGTTGCGTCCTTGTGCTGGTTCGCTGGGCCCGAAACGTGTCCCAAGCTTCAAACGCCTACGTCGTATGTGTGTGAAGCTCCCAAGCACTCGGTGACAAAATGCTAGCTGCAACAACACCCTGGAGCCCAAACACCTGCGAAACAGAACTGAAGCAGTCATCGAATAGAGAGGATTTGAGCATTCAAGTTGGAGAGCCCAATCGCCTGAAACGGCACATCTCATTAAGATGGAACAAGGTGAAGTTTGACTGAGCGTCTGCGCATTCAAAGTGCATAGCGCAACATGTTTTCTGCCATGAGCATCTCGAAAGGTTGTACTACGGGGATGCTGGATCAACCGCTCCATCCATTCTGGCCATCCAAGGTCAGTTCCCCCATGCGCTTTGTAAACCCGAAGCCCGAAGTTCCCAAAAGCTGATTGAACTTCGTCGAGAAGTATCAAAGTCAGGCGAGTCTTCCAGCTTTAGCTCGGCCTTCGCAATCCTTACCCTGGCAGGCATGGCAAAGCGCTGTTTCGCTGCGAGCACCTTCTCCAAGACTTACGCAACCTGCCCATATTACCCATATAGCAGCTTCTCGCACGTCGAGCACCACATGGTTGTTTCTGAAGGCACGTTAGGCGGTCGCAGCAAGGCCATGGATGGGTGGCGACTTGGTTGGGCGCTGTGCCCAGATGCCGAAGCAGCTGTCGCCGTTGCCAAGACAAGGCTGACCGGTGTACCGATGTGTGTACCGATGTGTGCATCCAAAATGAAGTACTGAAACATACTGAAGACGTCGGTCGATGTTCTTTTAATGGCCCCTGGAAGCGATGATTCACTGAAGTGTGGTTGCTGTACGTGCCCCTAAATGAAAGTGTCGTTTGGCAGGGGGTTGGTAGTAGGCACCGGAGTCCACCACCAACGAAGACACTCTGGAATCCTGGTGATGCTGGCCTGATGAGCCATGTGTACCTGCCAAAAACAATCTTTGTAAATCCGACAGTCCTTTCCCTGAGTTATATAGATCTGACTTGGTCAGCAGTTCATGTATTGCCACTCAGCATGCCTTGCAAGAGTGTGTGTGTGTGTGTGTGTGTGCACGTGTGCCAAATCACATTTGCAAGCCCGGATCGGGGTAGGGTATACATGAGGTGCAATGTGGTCCAGGCATGTATTTCATGAGCCTATTTTCACAGAAGTTTTACTGATCTTGCCTTGGTTCGGTGGTTTACGTTCTTTTTTTCACGCTGGCACGTCTGGCAGCAACATGCGTCAGGTACTATTACTCGGCGTGTTCTCCGACGTTCCTCCCTCATGAAAAGCACGGCAAACATGATGTTGTAGATCGATCTGCTCTAACATGCCCTCGGTGCTCCTGAGGTTCACGCAGCATGCGGGAGTTGCTGCTTTGTCTTCCTCTCAAGACTGCGTAGCTGCCATGCTGGCAGAATACAGTGAACGCCGTTCCGTCCTGGTAGACGGAATCTTGGACTTAGAACCTAGTGGGTGCCATGATCAAACAAGTCAGAGCGCTCAGGGTCTTGTTTGGGCAGCTGCTTGGTAGTTTTCGCAATGCTTTTGCAGAGGCATCGTTGCCAACCAAGTGCTGCGAGTTGCCGTGCATGAGGACTGGAGAGCATCCCTGGTCTCAAGCTGACCAGACCTCAGCATTTCACGGCCAACAGCCACAGATGTACCTGAAATTCCTGACCGTGGGACGATGAGTCAGGAAACGGAGAGAGCGGTTCCTAGGCAAGTCAGGAAGCCTTCTCTCAAGACGCACGCATCAATAGCATCACAGCACATCAAAAGCAGCATTTTCATCATGCAGACGCTCGATCACACAAGTGCTCAACAAACATCAGCGGCTCCTCAACGGCCTCATTGTTTGGACGCTTGGACCTGGCTCTTGTTGCTCTGGTGCTAACGCTTCTCCGATCATCTGAGTTCTGCAGATTGCTCTCGAAGTTCGACTCCCCCTTTTTTCAAATACGTACAAACGGTACACAGAAGAGAGCTGCTGCATTGAGATGAGAGGCCGGGTGGCAGCCCAGAAGGCGCCTACTACGTATTCCCAGACGTGTCGGCATTCGGGGATTCAGCGGAGCTTGCCCCTTGACTCGCAAAAGGGCTATGTAAGGTCGGCTGAGGTCGTAAAGGTAGGTCGAAGACCTGTCCTAAGGCTAGACACCTTCTGGACGAGCATCACATCGCCGCGGTGGATGGAGGCGTGGCAGCTTTTTCATGGAAGGAAGGTCATTGTTCCAGCTCTGTGCCAATTCTGACATGTTTAGGTGTCTTTGGCCAAGAAGGGCAGGGCCATCTCCGCATCGCCTACTCATGCTCAACAGAGGAGCTTCCTCACAAGATTGCAGATATGTCGGGGTTCTTGATGATGCAGCAGATGATGGATAAGTTTCCCATGGATGTTGCGCGTTTCCTGATACTCTTGCAGGTTCGGCTTTTTTGTTCATTCTGACCCCGGTGGTTCTTCTGCAAACTCCAAGAAGACCCTGCAAGAGAGGATTGCCGGCGCGGTGTTGAACGCCTGGCGAGGGCCCTGCGCGGGCGATGAGCCAAGCAACTCCTCATGGCCTGCGTGAAAAACCAGCTTTCCAGCTCCCCAACAAACACAAGGTGGTTATTGCAGCTTTTTTGAGTGAGAATCATCAAGAAGCCTGTATTCGATGTGAGAGAGTTTGTTGGTGTTCTCCATCGCACCGGGCCGGGGTGCATTCTGCCTCGATGTTTCTTGCGTATTAGGACCTCGGACCTTGGGCAAAAGCTTGACTTTGCAAAGCATCTCACTATGCCATGGCAGAAAGGGGAGCCCCCGAAGAATCGAACCCAAGCCAAGCCAGACCAAAGGTAAGGGAGTTAAGGGGCATCAGGGTGGTCAAGAGGCGTTCGCTGCAGCGTTGCAGATCGAGATAGATCGAGCCTCCAAATGGGCGGGCTTGGCAATGACATCATGTTGTGGCTTTCGTATATGGATGGTGCTCTTCATGTCTGGCGTCCTCACGCTGTTTCTCTACATAAACGCCTGGCTCTCATCTTGTCATCTTGTCTCAGCTTTGACAGCTGTCACAAAGTTAAGAGTCGGCAAGAGTCCACATTTTTTGCAGCTTTTGAGTTGTTTGAGTCGCTGAGACCGTGTTTGGAGAAGACGATTTCCGAGAAAGTGCCTTGGCTGGCGCGCCAGCAAATTTACATAGTGTAAGGACACTGCTCCTAAACCTAGACCTGAAAAGCAGGCATCATGCTAGGCAAGATGCAGTCCCTACAGCTGTTGGCGGCGGAAGAGATGGGACATGTTGTCATGCTCTGTGTTCTTGTTTGCGTGTTCAGTGCAAGATGTTTTTCATCTGAGGCAAGGATCCGCCAGAGAACTCGCAGGCCGGATCGCAAAACTACCCAGCGCAGCGCATGTTTTGACCTCCGTGCCAGACTGAGCTACAAGAAGCAGCGAAGACACGAAGTGTGTCATCGCCAGCCACGCCCTCATGGATTACCATGGTGTCGTGGAGCTAGGGGGATTGAGCTTTGCAGAGCTTGCCGCCTACCCTTATCTCATATTCAGAGAGCCCAGTAGCAATACCGTGCGGCAATTGTTTTCACAACCCTCGCTGCAGTGGCTTCCAGGTCAAGACGGATATTCAACCCCAAATGGCGTGCCTAGCTTTAATCTCCGTCTCGACTACGGCCAGCGAGCTGCAGATACGTGCCACTTGGAAGCAGATTAATGCACAACCCTGGCAGGAAGCTTCCCCTTCAGATGCTGTGGCCTGCAGCCAGTGATGGTAGTCGTAGCAGCCTGAACGACCCATTCCAGATGCAAAGTACAAAAACAACACCGTGGTGTGCATACCTCAAGTGCTTCTTGGGCCAGGTGGAGCATCTTAGCAGACAGCATGAATACAACTTCAGAAATCGATATTTGATCTTTGAAACTCGGCAGCAGTCAAGTGTTGGGTTTTCAACCCAGTTGAATGTAGGTGAGTTCAATGATACTTGATGTTACTGCCCATCGTCTGAAAGGGGATGATATCATTGTTTACTTGTTGCGTAGTACCAACGATATCCAATGGGCAAACTTACCCAATATCGACAGGCATGCAACCTTGTCGATGCGTGACGGGGGCTAATCAGATCATGCAGAATCTGCACAAATGTCTAGGCTGCGGCATGATTCGGAGCTAAGGATACCAAAGGCCCGCCCTGTAGCATTCCTGCGCATACGGAAGAGCCTGTGTCAGAAGCATCGTCTGGGCTGTCGTTCCATATATAAATGCAGAACCGGCCTTGCCCATTTTTCCCTGCAGGCGAGGAGCTGATGGGCCCCCTGCAAGAAGTTGCAGATTCTTTGGTGAAGGGCAACTTCGTTGATACCTGGATGACTGTGGACTACTCTGCAGCCTACAAAAGGGGTGCCTTGGGTGGTTGGACGCACGGGAAACCTTCTCAGCGGCATTTCCAAGTTGCTGACCCCTGATTCTGTTTGGAGCTGAGGTGTCAATACGACAGCTCAATGGGGTGATCTTTCAGAGTTCCGACCAGGTCATACTCATGGTAGATCTTTTGACGATTCGCAAACTGCAGACATTGAATTGGCCCACTATTACGCGGTGGATCAATGCGATGCACCGTACATAGCTATCTTTCAGACAGACATGCCGCTTGGCTCACACCTTGGAAAAGGTCACCGTATGGGAGTCCTCAGCCCAACTATTGTCTGGTTCTAGCCGCTTCCCCGTGCTGTGTTTGTCTGTGTCCCCCCTTTACGCTCTCAAGCATCAGCCCCTAGCTGAGCCCAACGATTGTCTGGTAGCGCTCGTAAGCTCCGAGGATCATGTATACACAGCGAGGATACTCGTGGGTGGAGGCCGGCCCGGGAGGGACCAAGGGCTTTTCGGAGGAAGCCTGGCGTGGTCCAACCACTCGAAACCCTGCCAAAAGGTGACTGGAAGCCTGGGCCCGTTTTTGGCCCCAAGTTCCACAGGAATTCCATTTAGATCTTCAGAACTTCGAATGGCTTGTACTTCAAAGCTCATGTCAAGTCATTCAGCGATGGCTGTTCGTTTGCAACTGTTACTTCTGCCTTATCAAACAACTCTACCTACTTGATTTAACAATTTTAACCTGAAGCTTCTTTCGCGGTTGCAGGAGGCGATGCAGGCTCTCCGGGATAACGAGGGGCTCGTGCCTGGGCCTTCCTTGCCACCTCAAGGTTCGTGTGAATTTGTGGGACTCACACCATGGGTTGATCTGGGTTCGGGAAGTTGGGGGGTCCCCTTCTTTTGTTTTGGGGCACCCTGTGAAGTGTAAGGAACGCGCCGTGATATCGAGAAGGGGCCGTCGTCTAAAGCCTCTAGTGAACATCCAAAGAGCCCTCCCTAAACTAAGGCCGGAAGCCTCAATTTCAGTACCCAGGACTCCGAACCCCAAAACCCAAACACCACCCAAGAACCGTAAAAACACCACCTCGAACTGCCTCCAAATCCTTGCCCCCCTCCAACCTTGACCCCTTGCAATCTGAAGCCTAAATCTCAAGACTCCTCCCATGGTGAAACAACCCTAAATGCCCTAAACCTGAGATTCAGAGGTGCTAATCATTCCCGCATTTCCGGGCATTGCGTCACGGAGGGTGCGGCATCGGCCCACCACCCGGTGACTCTGCACAGAAGGGGGTTTACGGCTGATTGGGGCTTGGGGCTTAAGGGTTTAGGGAGTTGTAGCGGACGTTGGGAAAGACTCCAGGGTTTTGCCCGGGAACATGAGCACGTAATAAGCACACGCAGCCCCCGCCTTTCGGAGACGCGTGTTGACTGCTACTCAGTGTGACACAAGGAGCCATCACTGGCACTTGAGAAGCACATCTGGAGCAAGCATTCAATCGAAGCACAGATCGTCAGTGAGGTCGTCAGTGATCCACGATCAGGCGTGCGACGTTTCAATGATCACCTTTGCCACTCACGAAAACTGCACGAGCCGTTGGCTATGAAAAGTGAAGCTGTGAAGGCGTTCGCATTTGCTTGGTTGCGACTCCAGGAAAGGTGATCATGCTGGCAGGCTCAGGAGCGCGCGAGTGAATGTGTCGAGTTTGGCGTGCGTCGACCACTCCTCGCCTGTCGAAACTCTTCAAGATCGTCCTGGGAGCCCCTGCCTGGTTGTTCTCCAAATGTCCTGACCAGCGGTGGCTTCTTTAGTCTTAGGCATCACGCGTGCAGTCCCGCAACGAGCATCGAAACGAGTCGTCCTCGGTCGGCTCGGTCGCAGTTGGGTGCGGTCAGAGCCCCTGCCCTTGGCATGTCGGGGCAGAACTAGGGCGCTTGCTTCGAACTTAGATGCTTGGGGTTCAGTCTGGGATGTCGGGGACTGGGGTTTAGGATTCGGATGGGGGGTTCTTTTTCGGGGCCTCAAGCAGCACTTGGGCTCGGGGTGTAGGGTCTGCTCTTGATTTTGCTTTGAAGGCCTGGGCTCTCTCCCCGAAATTTTCGAAGAAGTCCGAAAACTTGAGGTTGAGGAGGCCTTGTGCGGGACACGACCCAAACTTTCCAGTCATTTTTTTGGCCTTTTCTTATTAACCCCGCAATTTAAAGACGAGGGCAGGGATCCTAACCCAAGCAGGGGGGATGTAAAGACCCCCATCTTGTGGGGGGATCCTCTGAACTCTTCAAGCTTCCGCAGTCTCTCAAGGTGTCCTAGGACCGACCCAGCCGAAGATTGTTCCCATCTTTCATCCTAAGAACCTCTATGAAGTGTACAGACCCCACCGTGCCCTGCTGCAAGGCCCATAGCCAAGTTCTTCCAGGAGCCTCTCCAGGGACAGGTGAAGCTGGAAGAGACCACTTGCCAGCATCCCTTCACCCTTCCAGGCGCGGCCGGGCCTTTAGGCCTTTAGGGTTTAGGGACTTCCGCTATCCCTTCTGGATTCCGGAGCTTGGGGGTAGGTCTCCCCTTTTTGTGCTGGAGGGTGTCATGAGAACAAGGAACCCACCCTCGGACCTCAACGTAATGATTCTGAGGTGTCAGTTTCTTTCCGAAACTTCTTTTCCATTCCTCTCTCGACAACCTAACCTGAAAAATCTCCTTCCACAACACATCATAGAATGTTGCGAGAACGAAGTGAACGCATGAACAGCCGAGTGATCAGGATCTTCTTGTTACGTAGTTCTGAGAGAGGAGGATAGTGACGGTGGTTGGGCATGTAGTTCTGCAGGGGGGATTGAAGGATTGTCTTGCAGGGTTTCTTGCAGGATCTTGGAGATGGGCATTTGCCAAGCCATAGACAGCTGCCACGACTCAGGTCGGGCGACTTTGCTGGACATCCACAGATACAGGCGGCTACCAGCACGAAGCCAGATTATGGAGTATCGGTGCGGCGGCCAGCTTGTGCGAGGCAGCGTTGTCGGTTTCGGAATCTGAATGTCAACATGAAACACGTGTGCAACAGCCTGCCGCAAGATGGGCAAAGTCGCAGTGGTGTCTGTTGCGCTGTTCACAGCGCATAGTGCATACGCCTTTGGGCAGGTGTTCCTTGCAAGACGCTTGCGCTCCTCGGCCGATCTCTGAATAGGGCTCTGCAGAGGAATCACAATGGACAGGTGGACCCTGGCTCCAAAACGAACCAATGCTACCATGCAGCACCTAGTTTTGAGCTGATGGCGCCATGGAGGTATGTCAGAAAGTGCGGTGGCTTGCGAACCTGGGAAGCTGCTGTGGAGTGCTTCTCATCTGCAGAGTCTTCCCCCCTAACTCCGTCGGCCCAGAACCTAGAGTCCTCCCCGACTTGCTCACCATCATTTGTTTTCACTTTTCTTGGCTGTCCCATGGTCTCCGTTTACTTTCGGTGCATGAAGTCGTACGTCTCGTTTAGAGAACTTCGAGAGCTCAGTGACTTGTTCGCTGAGGTGTGATCTGCAATAGCGAAAACACACGACAGGCCACTGCATTCCTTCTGACATGTCCAGTACCTGGGCAGCGCATGACTAACAGCGCTGATCCGACAGGCTCATCTCAGCAACTGGCAGAAGTCTTGGGTGCAGCATGCGCCGTTGACCTCTGTGAGGCCGATTCGAGGGTCGTTTAAAAAATCGTAGTTCGTAGTTGCCTTATCGCCTTGTGCTTAATTGCCTTGGCCTTAGCTGTCGTGTAGTTGCCTCAGCTCCGCAGCCGTTGTCGCAAGGTATGACATGGCCAGGCTGAAGACGGATGCCCGGGCCTCACGGTGTTTTTTTGAGCTTCTCTTGGCATCAAGAAGGGATCCGCGGGACAACTCGTAGTTTCCCAGTACTTGCAGGTTATAATCATCGAATCTGGGCGTGATGCTGCCGACATGGGCTCCGAGTACAAGGGGCTCGCGACGTAGACGGGACCAAGATGGTCCTGCGGATGAGTTCGAAGAGTGGCTAGATGTGCGAAAAAAGCCCGAGCATCAGAATCGCAGCACCTTGGTTGTTTTTTTAAACAGCGCGCCGAAGCGAATTGTTGCGACGTGCTGGCTCTGGTCGTAAATAGGTTTGCATACCGCAGCCCTGATGTCTTGCACATTTTTCCAAGGTTTTCCAGGGTCGCAAGCTCGCTCTGCCTGGGAGTTGTTATGCCTAAACCCATTTGCAGCAAAAACGCCGCAGACAAGCGCCGAGGCCGTGCCCACCAAGTAACCGAGAGCCAGTATCAAAAAGAGAGTCGACATTTAAAGTTTCAGCGTGGAGCCATGCTGCGGCTTTGCCTGGCTGTGGCCCTGCGGCTTGGCATCGGGTCATTGGTCAGATTGATGCAGTCCTCTTACACCCCCAGAACAGCCCTGATGTTCCCCCTTGTACTAACAGTCCTTAATCGGGATATAGAACCCTTTTAAGGACTGTTAGTGTACGGGGAACAGACCTTCTTGACCTTTGAAGACGGCCTTTGTATGGCTGCTCCAGGGGCACCCTCTGCTTGTCCGGCGAGGACACCTGCGAGGACCTGGAGCTTCATGGCCATGGGACATTGCAGAGCCCCACCAGCCTTCAACTCACCGTTAAGCCCCCTAAAACCCTAACACCCTAAACCCTACTCTGCAAGCAAGCAGGACTCCGAAACTTGTGCGGCCGGAGGTGACCCCGAAGGTGAGCTCGCCGAAACCTAGATCCATCCGAACAGACAAAAGTCTGCTCAGGATTGTTGAAGGGCTCCCAGTCTTGAGCAGCACTGGTCAATCATCTATCATCATCTATCAGCTCGATGGTTCGTAGCAGCACAGACAGAACCTCCAGTTCATGGCAGCCCTTGAGGCAGCAAGGATGGCGCTTGCTTCGCTGTGATTGCTACAGAGGACCACTGGAAGGAACTGGAAGTCAGAGCTGCTTGGTGCTGTGAAAGGGCTTTGATCTTGTGGGTTTCAGGTAGCTGGAGACTCTGTCCTTCTATGTTGCTGTTGTGCTCTGCCAATACGTAGACCGGAAAACTGTTGTGCTGCAGCTGCGCGCGTTCTGAGTCTTCCTTCAGAACAGCTGGATCTTGACAACGTACAGGGGTGTGTGCGTGTGTGTGCATCGCCCAGACATGCCAAGACGTATCTGCAATCCCAAGACGTATCTGCAGGGTTGGCAATGACAATGTCGTCTTGTTTGTCGCAGGTTGCTCAGATCCTCAGGCATCAGCATTTTCCGTTCGCCAGCAAATACTTGGTACTGGACACGGACGGCAAGCCGCCCAGCCAAAGACTGTCCGACCCTTGGCAGGATGAGCAACTCGCCACAGTCCTGTAGTACAAAACTGCTTCGATTACGGGCTCTGAACCGCAGCGAGTGGCTGTGGCATTTGTTTCGGGTCTACGTCGGCTCATGGACAGTAGAATGGCTTAGATGGGGCCTATATGAGCTTCAAGATGCTTGAAGAAGGTTTGAGAAAACTCACAGGTGCTTGTGCGACGATATCCGACCAGCTCCTAGTCTAGTCAACGCTTGACGCTGAGTGTTCATAGCTGATAGGATCGAGTTAGGAGTATATTCGGATCTCTGTTACACGGCAAGTGAATGCACATTGACATGCGCCGCATCCCGCATTCCGCTCCAGGACAATGCGCAGAAGGTCGTCAACGCAGGATTGCTTGACAGCTGGCTGGCGGTAGACTACTCCGAGCAGCAGCTTGGCAAACAGAAGAAGGAGTGTGTCAAGAAGATTCCAAACAGCTCAATGCAGCTTTGACACATCTTCGGGTCTGAGGGACAGGGATGCATCTCGATTAAGGTACATCAAGAAGCTGAACGAGACGGCAAATTGGGATCCCTTCGAACATCCACCCCCCACTGGATTTCGGGACCCTCGCTTGCTGTAAGAATGGGGCTCATTTGGTCAGTTTCAGATATTTCAAGTGTTTCAAAGCGAAGCATGTCTCGTGGCAAAGATAATCCTTGTGTCTCACTTCCAAGGCCATGTGTTAGCTTGACAGGGGCCCAACCCAGACACTTGGAGTGCCCAACCCCAGAGTCTCCTGGAGTGCCCAACCCTAAACTCTCCCTGAAATGCCCAACCCAGAACCCAGACACTTGGAGCGCCCAACCCCAGAGTCTCCTTGGAGTGCCCAACCCCAGAGTCTCCTGGAGTGCCCAACCCCAGAAACTCAGTGCCCAACCCAGACTTGAACCCGAGTCCCTAGAGTGCCCAACCCCAGAGTCTCCCTGAAGTGCCCAACCGCACAAACTTCCGAAGTGCCAAACCCAGACACTTGGAGTCCCGAGTGCCAATCCCGGAGTCTTCCTGCAGTGCCCAACCCCAGAAACTCCCAACCCAGACACTTGGAGTGCCCATTCCCAGAGTCTCCCTGAGTGCCCAACCCCAGAGTCTCCCTGGAGTGCCCCACTCCAGAACAGACTTTTTTTTTGAGGAGTGCCCAGCCCCAGAAACTCCCTGAAATGCCCAACCCAGACACCCAACCCCACATTTTGCCTGGACTGCCCAACCCCAGAAACTCGCTGGAGTGCCCAACCCAGACACTTGGAGTGCCCAACCCCAGAGTCTCCCAATCCAGACACTTGGAGCCCCGAAACTCCCAACCCAGACGCTTGGAGTGCCCAACCCTAGAGTCTCCCTGAATTGCCCAACCCAGAGACTCCCTGCAATGCCCAACCCAGAGACTCCTGGAGTGCCCAACCCCAGAGCCCTGGAGTGCTACAGTAAGGTGGGGATGTTCGAAGTAAATAATTTTGATCCTCCAAGCTCCAGCTCGGGATGTGCCGTGTGCGCAGCTTTCTTTGTGGTTCGTGTGTTACAGCTCTTCTAAGTCGTCATCTTGCGCCGATGAGTCATGCTGTGCAGATGCAGAGTCAGCTACGCTTTCTGTGACCTCCGTGCACCTATCTCTTTCCTTTGCCCAAACAAGCCGACAAAGGACCGACACAAGACGGTGTCTTACACGGAGTTCAACGAGGACTACGAGGAGAAGGACCTTCGCGCCAGCACCCTGCTAGACCAGCTTCATCTTGTGTAGAAAGCATCCTGCGAAACACGTTGAGGACAGCCCTACTCGACGGTGGGGGTGACGGTTTATCATGTTTAGGAAGAGCTCAGAGACTTCTTAGGCTGTTCTTGCAAAGGAGCGCCCGGCGCACTACTTCGCCATCGACAAGTGCAGCCATGGCGCCCCGGAGAACTTCAGATCTGGAAGACGGGGATACTACTTCAAGGGTTTCTGACAGCAGGATCTTGCAGCCTTAGCCAGAGACTGAGGCCACCTGGTGGTTATGCAGATTGAGGTGATCTGGATGAGCTACCGGAAGTACTCTTGGGTAGCTGCAGGCAGCACGGGCAGGGCTCTTGGGCTTTAGCTGGTTGAGGGGTTCCTACGCAGGAAAAAACCTTAAGCTGTAGGCCCGAAACCTTCCAAAAGGCGCTTAGATTTCTGCCGCCACGAAGCCCAGGTGGTTGATGTCCCGCACCCTGACTGGCAGCTCTGCAGTCCCAATCTGGCCTTGTGCAGGCCTTGAGCTGATGAAGGACAACCCCGGTCTGGTGCTGGTGCAGCCGGCCTACCCCGGCATAGAGTACCGACGCTTCCGTGCCCTGACACAGAACTTTGGGGGTCCCCAGGTATTGCCCCTAATCATTCCTTCATTCCCCGTTCGGAACCTCAGAGAAGTTGGGAGGGCTTCAGGGTTTTAGGAAGATCGGGCCTTCAGGGTTCGGGTTCAGGGAATTTAGGTGCAGGTCATATGATGGGGAAGGGCTTGTGCAGAGTACGAGGAGACAAGCCGACCACCAGGGAGATTCAGAAGAAGCACAAAACACTCGTCAACCCCAGAATCGAGGCGCCCACATGCGCCCACATGCGACACGCACCATGCCTGGCCCATTTAGCCTTTGTGGGGTCGGTCTCGGTCTTGGCCAGGGACCGGCATCTCAAGAAGCTCCCAATTCTAAGGGCTTTTGGGGGCTTTTGGGGTGTTTTGGGGTGCATTTCGCAGCTGTCCCTCGGCAGGCAGAGGACACGACCTGCCGACATCCGTTTAGCAAACCTGGCTGGGTGAGCCATGGCCAAATTCAATGCGGTCAAAGCGGCCTCTTCTTCATCTCTAGTATTCTCTTTTGCTGTCTCGATGCAGCTTCTCGGATCCTCGTGCCCGGAAGGAGTCTGGTGAATCTGCAGCGCTACCACAGCGTGGGGCGGCGACTCTCGTCAGGCATTCAGGCATCCGGTTCGGAGCAGAATGCGAGTACTTAGCTAGCATAGCATTTTGGAAGCACTGAGTAGTACAATTGTACATGGAAGGTTTACATGGATATGCGGTCGGTGCAGAAGTTTACTTTCTCTTCTTGGAGTGTACCGGGCTGTACTACATCAGGGTACGGAAGCGACCGCACAAGTTCTGAACGTCAGTGCCCCAGGGCTGAAGAGCTGAACCTCAGGCCAGAAGTATCGCGAGTATCGGTGTGGTGGCCAGCTGGTCAAGGGCAAGAAGTGTAAGGACTACGACTTCCTTCGAGGCGAGACTTGAGGGCTCATGACTCATATGGGAGCTGATGCGACCATACATACGAGTCGTAAGCATATCACGCTTAAAATCGTATCAAGATTCAAAATTAGATAAAGGAGGCATGAACAAAACGGGCTTAGGTCTTGGGGCTTCTGGGAGGCTGCGGCGGCATGCGACTCTGGGAAAATGCCCTGGAGTGCGTGATCTGCAACCGTCCCTCCTTGCGCCCGGGGCCAAGACCTGGAGTTTGGGAATCAAAACCACTTTGTCGCAATGGGTTTAGCTGGGTTTCGGCCCGGGGAACCCTCAACTCTAAGCCCTAAACCCTAAACCCCAAACCCTAAACTTCCTAAACCCCAAACCCAGCACTTCCCAGGCCAGGCCCAGCTGACAGACTCGGACCGTGTCTGGGTACAGAAGGCGCGTGGCGTGGTGTGGGATCATTCGTAGCACCTTAAAGGGAAATGCATCATGATCATATGGGAAACCGCAAGAATATAGCATTTAATAGTGGTATTAGTGGTAGTAGTGGTTGTAGTGGTCGTAGTGGTAGTAGTGGCAGCGGTAGTAGTGGAGTAATAGTAATAGTAATAGTAATAGTAACAGTAATAGTAATAGTAACAGTAACAGTCATAGTAATAGTAATAGTAACAGTAATAGTAATAGTAATAGTAATAGTAATAGTAATAGTAGTAGTAATAGTAATAGTAATAGTAATAGTAATAGTAATAGTAATAGTAATAGTAATAGTAATAGTAATAGTAATAGTAATAGTAATAGTAATAGTAATAGTAATAGTAATAGTAATAGTAAATAGTAGTAATCGTATTAGTAATAGTAATAGTAAGTAGTAGTAATAGTAGTAGTAGTAGTAGTAGTAGTAGTAGTAGTAATAGTAATAGTAATAGTAATAGTAATAGTACTAGTAATAGTAATAGTAATAGTTAATAGTAATTGTAATAGTAATAGTAATAGTAATGGTAGAGGTTATAGTAATATTAATAGTAATAGCAATAGTAATAGTAATAGTAATCGTAATCGAAATCGTAATCGTAATAGTAATAGTAATAGTAATAGCAATAGCAATAGTAATAGTAATAGTAATAGTAATAGTAATAGTAATAGTAATAGTAATAGTAATGGAAATAGTAGTAGGACTTCATTCAGGGTAAGAGCTTGTGGAATCTGTGGGGATTTTGTGAATCCAGGGTGAAAGTGTGTTTTGCGGGTTGAGGGATTTTGGTGCTTCATTCAGCAAAATTCACGGGCCTGGGCGTAACCACCCCCCCCCCCCCCCCCCCCCCCCCCCCCCCCCCCGCGCCCCATGAGTAGCAGCCGTGTCTGCAAACTTCGCGGCCTGGGGGTAATAGTAAGAGTAAGAGTAAAAGGAAAAGTAAAAGTAAAAGTAAAAGTAAGAGTAAGAGTAAGAGTAAGAGTAACAATAATAGTAAGAGTAATAGTAATAGTAATGGTAATAGTAATAGTAATAGTAATAGTAATAGTAGTAGCAATAGTAATAGTAATAGCAATAGCAATAGCAATAGCAATAGCAATAGTAATAGTAATAGTAATAGTAATAGTAATAGTAATAGTAATAGCAATAGTAATAGTAATAGCAATAGCAATAGTAATAGTAATAGTAATAGTAATAGTAATAGTCATGGTCATAGTCATAGTCACAGTTATAGCACCAGTCTAAGCCACTGTCGTGCGAGGCACCCATCACTTGCTTCCGCTCGGATGTCGGGGACATGATCGATGGGATCAACCTGGTGGAGCTGCTCGGGCCTTTTTCCTGGTGACCTTAATCCCCAAACCCTAGTCCCTACCCCCAAGCCCTAACCCTTGAACCCTACACCCGAAAACGTAAACCCTATCGTGCTCTTTGTGGTGAGACGTGTTGTCTGCTCAGGAATGGCACGGTATTTCCAGTAACTGGCATGGATTTCACCCTGAAGATGGAGGAAGACGAAGACTCCGACACGTAGCTTCGTCGAAGTCCCGATGCTCGCAGCTCCGTGTCCAGAGTTTCAGTACAGATGAAGCCGGCAGAATTCACATAGTAGCGAGGAGGTGGTCCTGGCAGCGCAACTGATGCACATAACATAACATCTGTGGAGTAGCTGGGTTTTCAAGAGTTAGGACGTTCGGAGGCTGAAAGGTCCACACACCGAGCGGCGAAAGACTGGGTTGCAAAGTGGCCTTGGGGCCAGCACAACCGTCAACATGCGCCAAAAGCGCAAATGCAAACCACGGGCGCATCTGTTACCCTTCGGTACAGGATCTGGCTGTTGAGCTAAGTGGGGAAGCTGTTTTCCTACATTGAACATCTCAGCTGCTGCACGTGGCTTCCAGTCAGGATGACAAGTGGAGAAATCCATGGCTGCGCATGAGTCACAACTACCCCTGTACTTCCCCTTGAAACTAGTGCTCGTCTGCACGTGCCAGTGCCGTCCGCTTCCTCTGCCATGGCTGGCGCGGCGGTCCGGCCCCAGGCACTTGTCCACAAAAAGTGTAACATAATTTCCACGCAAGCGCCAGCGCGCCCCTTCTGAGGTGCTGCGCCAGGCGCCCTTCGAGGAAGCCTTGGATCCGCGAGCCTTTGTGCAGAGCTCTTGGCTTTACGGACCTCCGCGTGGAGAGCCTCGGCTCGGAATAGGATTAGGGGTTTCGGATGTTGGGGTTTCAAGGGCGAATGGGGTTCAGACTTTAGGGAAGTTAAGCACTTCGAGGCCCGGAGCAAGATCCTTCCTGCGCTGGCGCAAAAGTCCGCGTGCAGCGGCCAAAACTCAGCGTCCACCCACAACCTCTCTACAGCCTCGGACAGCCACTCAAGACCCAAAAAGCCCAAAAACCCCAAGGACAACTGAGACAACTCAAGAGCACGTTGCAAAGAGCCCCCGTTGGGGATCCGAGGAGCTCCATCCTTGGGCCTGGGATTTGTGGCGGGTGGCTCCGCAGCAAGGGCTTCTAGCGGTCTCTGACTGCTTTCTTGGCGATGCTCCCGCCTGGCCCAGTTTTGTTTTCTGTCGAGGTGTTGAGGGTTTGAGAATTGAGAAGTGAGGGTTCGTTTGGAAAGTCTGGCCTGAACGAGGCCAATGGCTCCGTTGACTGCAGCTTTCCGAAATCTCGCCAGGCGGCTTCAGCCCGAAACTCGCTGGGACTTTCGGACGTGGGACACTATGTCACCATGTGTGCATGTCAGCCTGCTGCACCCAAATATTTTGTTGGCCAGGGGCGCAAGATCTACGAGCCATGTGGCCCCATGCCGCGGAGCAACCTGCGACGCATCCTTGCCTTCTTCACAGGTGTGGGAAGCTGGTGCGTTGCTGGGATTTTGCTGGTCTCTTGTGTCTTTGAGTGATGTTGGAAGAATGCGTAGGTTATCTGAACCTCACCTTGGACATTGACACCCTCATGTTCCAGTTCCAGAGCCCGGGGGAGCAGTTGGCGCTGCGACCCACCGTGCAAGGCCAGTCTTTTTGCACCCGGAGTTGATGATTTTAACTGGAAAGCCTCGTGTATGTGAACCGTGCTGCGCCTGACTACCTGTGTCCGCTCGCTGACTCCAGGACAGCCTTGCCGAGGGCCTTGGGACGTCCACGACTTCAACTTTCATGGAGGCAGATTGTAGTTTCGTGCGATAAGAAAATGCACGGCTGATCTTTCTATCCCCCTCTAAACTAACCCCCCAACAAACTAAGCAACCCCGGATCAGAGGAGGTGGTAGAGAGCGGCCAACCTTTCGCGGCAACATTCCATTGTTTCGTGCTGTGTGTCTCATTCAGTCGATCGTGAGGATGGCATCAGTGAGATGCAGTGCTTTCCAACTGCGTCGAACCATGAAATCAGAACATGAATGGTTCAGCTGTTGCTATACACGGTGTAGGTACGTTGATTCCAGGCACCTTCTCGCTCTTCGGAGGGTGCCACGGGGTGTGTGGAGACAAAAGCAGCCTTCAGGCTTCAGGGTTTCATGGTTTTGTGATGTATGTTTCCTTTATGGGCTACCACAAAGACACCCTAAATACTATGTACTGTATGATGGTCCAGTTGTTGGCAGGTGGCGTATGAGGACCCGTTCTATAGTTTGGGATCCAAACAAGGTACTGACCTCAACTTACAACGGCCTACAACTTGCCACATGTGCAGGATATCCACTGCGACTTGTACGGGCTGGAAGATACTTGTGCCTCAGCAAGCAATTGGGATGTTTGTTTTTGCCTTTGCAAGGTGTAAGAAGATCATCTCCCGGAGGGATCAGGGTTTAGGGTCGTTGCAAGGTTCCGGAGGGTTTAAGGTTTAAGTCTGCAGAGCCAACCTAGGCATCAGTGGCTGATCTTGAACGCAACCTGCATCTCGGTCTTGCTTGAGTACACCCTTTGCTTCGGGGCCAGCCCCATCCCCTCAACCCTACATGAAGGCTCCTTTAAAAGCCCCCCGGGGCGGCCCCAAAGCCCGAGAATCTTAAAGCCCAAGGTGGGAACTCCACTGCGACGCTCGAGTTCCGGGTTTGGCCGCAGAGCGTCGATCTCCACATCATCCCCGAGGACGGCGCGTCGGTGCCTGGCTTCCAGGACGCGGGGTTTGGTTAGGGGTCCCCCTGTAAGGGTTATAGGGCAGTTTTAGGTTGGGTTTGCAGTGTTCTGCCAAGCAGGTTGGAGAACGCCGTGAGTGCTTGCAGTTGAACCCTCTGAAAGCTCCAAAACCCTTCAACCCACACCTGCAAGGAGGAACTGGGGCATGCCACATCCACAGTCATGGGTGGGCCGGGATACGGTGCTGCCGCGTATTGCCTGCGGTGTCAAGATGCGTCGCTCGGCTGTGCTGGCTGTGCTGGTCCTGCCAAGCACCTTGCTAGATGGGCTCTCATCATTCTCCTTTCAGGTGCCTTTGGAAACGATTGATCGCATCTGGTCCACGTGGTTGCTGCCCGTACCTGGCTGGCAAATGTAGTGTGGAGATTGGGGACGAGTCGCGGTCGCTGGTTGAGTCAATGGAAGCGCAAGGTTGGGCGAAGGGTTGTGTGGATCTGGTCCCAAACCGGCGTGCTCCGTCCCACTGAACGACTGGAACCTTGGCTGATATTAGAACACCCACTACCTCTCAGACTGCCAGAGCCGGCTTTTTCGGGAGACTTCCGAGGAATGCTGGATCGGTTCCGCGGCTGACTGTGCGGGATGCTGCTGAAGGGCCACTCTGGCCTGCGCTCTCGACAGGCCGGGTCGAGTTCCGAGTGCCCCCAATTTGCCAGTGTGCCAACGTGCGTCATCGGCAAGCTCCAGCTTCGGCAAGCTTCAGCGCTCCCGCACCAGGCAGCTTATTTCCGGGGAAGCGCCACATCTGGGGCGACGGGCAAGCTTGGAGGGTGGAGCTCAGCTCTCGCAACGAGAGCATCGTGCAAAATGACGGCTACGAGGCCCCGTGATGTACATCGTTTATTACTGTGTATGTTTCTTGGTATTAGAGGAGAAGAATCCTCGTAAATGTCATGGGGTTGAGTCATTTAGGGTGTCATGGATGGGCCTGGCAGGTCATCTTGACGAACCCAACTGTCGAGAGCATCGACTTTCGGGTCATTTTTCACATCGCCGCCCCCAAGAAGATCACGGGCCCAGTGCTTACTGAGTCAGCTTTGGCTCACAGCAGGTTGCCAAAGTTGCATCAGGGCTTCGTGGCATGTGCAGGTGTTGCTGCAGCGCTGCACAACGGTACCACGAAGCGACCTTCAGGACTTCATCTGCAGATCAGAGCTTTGGCTGTCAAATGAAGCAGTTGACACGCATGTACAAGTCATGACAAGAACATGCGCTACCAGCATCTGCATACAATCTTTACATAGCAGTAGATGACCGTGACTAGTTCGCCCCCCCCCCAAATCAAGGCATATCCGACGATCCAGCTTAGCTCAAGAAGATTTGTGTGTGTGTGTGTGGGTTGCGCATCAGTGTATCATGCGGAATGACTACTATGGAGCTGTGTGGCACAATCTCGGGATGCTGGGCATGTAGGCATTCTGCAAATCTCCCTGCACGTGCAATTGGATACTCCTCTAACGCACGCTCTGCAATGCTTCGTCCCTGGTGCTTGGACATTGATCGGGCAGCAGGGCGCATCATGCCAACACGAGCAGCGCAGAGTTTGTCCATGCATGCAGTGGGATGCTTGGCATTGTGAGCAGCGTGATGCAGCATTGGAGATGTTGGAGCATGACGTTCACAAGTTTTGCCGTGACGGTGACGGTGCTAATTTGGAAGCAGCATCAAGCACCCTGTCATTTGCGCACGCATGCTGCTGGCATGAAGTTTCGCATATCCGACGCATGGGCTTTGAACAGAAATTGCAGAATTATGTTTTAACCAGGTGAAGGACAACTTCCCAGAACACTGGCAAACATTGCTGAACAAAGTGTGTGCGTGTGGAGAGGGGGCGGGGGCACGTTCCGGGAACCAGTATGGGCTAAGGCAAGAACTGGCACGACAACGAGTGCTTCTGGGATCGCATCAGATATGACGGAGAGTGGTATTCAGCCGTGGCCGGCCACTGAGGGGAAGGGGCACGCGCCCCCTGAAAATTCTGCAGCCCTAAGCCACCGAAGCGCAGATCGCTGAGCCCGACTTTCGAAAAGCCGTGATCTCAGGTCCACGTGCGGGTCCCGCCTCGGAGCCGCTTGAAAGGTGAGCTCCTGGTGTCTTGGAGGGGATTGGCTCGAAGGGCTCATGTTGCAAAAGGATCCCCCGAAGCTCTCAAAGTACTCGTAGAAGAACCAAGGTGGCCTACCAGTTCTTCGGCAAGCTCCACACCGTCTCTCATGCGCAGCTCTGTCTGATAGGCCGCAGTGGTTTCCGTCCCCTTTGTGGCCGGCACGATCCCCAAAACCCCCAATCCTTGAGAGGCTGGGTTGGATCAAATGGTCTCTGGGAAGAGGTTGGCCTGGGCACCGAGGGTGAATCCATCACCTTCGAGCCCAACCTGCTTCTTGCCCTGAGACAACGAGGGTTTCAGGACGTTTAGGGGGATGGGGATAAAGCAGCAAGGCAGCAGCGGCGAAACCTGGTCCTTGACACGCGGCCCTTCCTTGTTTGCAAGATGGATGAGCCCAAGTGCACATGTCAGAAGGACTGCTCATGGTCAGCACCCTTTCTTCTCGGTTCTTCTCTTGCCACAGCGACAGCGCGGTAGTTGGCGCCAGTTGCCTATGTACTTCGTATGTTTGCATCCGAACTTCTTGGGTGCTGGAGGAAGTCAACGCGAGCGGAAGGCGGGCCAGGGACAGTTGAAGGCAGTGCTTTCGACCCATGCGCACACTACACGTGCTCGAAGATGGAGAGACAGTCTCGCACATTTCCGAGTGAGAGCGGTGGACACGCCAGGTTTGCGCAGCACCTGTGCCATGTTGACAAGGCAGAACTTCGGTGCTGTGCGGGGAGTGCACAGAAATGCGGTGCGAGTTTCAACTGTGGTCGGAAGATCAGCTGAGAAGATGCCTCTGTTTATCTCCGAGTTGATAGGGTAGCCAAAGTTTTAGTTGATGTCTTGGATGTGCCATTAGAATGTGTGCGTGTGTTCAGATGTGTTGTACGTATGTGTGTATGCATGTTTGTTTAGGCTTTGACACCTCCGGCAACACTTCGTGTCACATGCAGTCAGGTGGATGGCTGCGTGGGAGATGTTAACGTCACTGGCTGGACGGAAAACCATGGCGGATCAGCTGCTTGCCTAGAAAGTCCCAAAGCACTCTCTCAACTGCTCTTGCAAGCGTCATCGCGTCGTTCCTTTCCTCAGGACTTCTTGACGGCAGTGGACCCTGGTGGGTCGTTCCAGTACTTGACGAACGTGACCGTCACACACACATCGAACGGACCCCGGCTAACGAATGCGACTTACACGGGAGTGACAGTCGATGGCGCCATCCGAGTGGAGCGGACCGTCTCCACCTGGGCGACGGAGGATTTCCCCCGCCACTTGCACTCCTTTCGCTACGAGGTCCTGAAGAATGTGACGTATCGGCGCCTGGCCTTCTACCTGCTGGGTGGGGATTGGTACAACAACGTCCTCAGCCCGAGCCTTGCCTTCGGAGATTCCAAAGGCTTGCAGCACCATGTCTCGAGCCTCGGATTTGAAATGAAGCATCTCCTTTGTGTGCCCTCCCTTTGTCTCCCTTTCTTACATCTTGCCATAGGAACATCTCAGCCTCGTTGGAGCAGTTCGAGTACTCGAAGGACTTGAAGAATGTGAAGTTCTGCCCGGCTCATAGACTTTGTGCAAGGCGGATGGGAGCGTCGGGAAAATCAGCATCACGTCCAAGACGCCCCGTCTGAACGAGGTCAGGAGCCACCTTGCTGGTTTGCCCTACTCACGCAGACTACTCAGGCAGGGGGCTTAAAGGGCCCCTTTTTTGGTGACGGCGCTTTCTTTCGGGATCCTGGATTTAGAACAGTCTCTTCGGGTTGTTCTTTTTGCGCTGGAGGGCTTGGATGTTCTTTCATTTTTTTTGGCAACCTGCGGCTTATCAGAAGCTCTTCTCAAGCCTCTACCGAAGCCCCAAGCTCGAGACCCTTAAGAAGACCCAAGCTCCCGAATCCAGATTCAGGGGTCTACCGGAATTCATCAGGAGGAAGTAAAGCTCCCCCCCCTCAGTTTTGAGGCCGACCGCTACGCGCACCGCGGGCTGGTGGTGCGGCGCTGGCGCGGGCGGATGGGGGGAGAGGAGCTGCCCGAAGATCGAGGCAGGGGTTCAGGGTGGTTATTGCGAGTTTCAAATTAGGACTCCCTTTTTCGGAAGTCACTTTGAGAAAGGGGCCCAGTTGGTCGAACGTGCCCAGGTGGGGTTCTCAGGGTTGCAGGTTCAGGGCTCAAGGTGGGCCATGTCAGGTTTGGTGTTTGGGGCTTTTGAGGGTTTTCAGGCCTTCGGGTTGCAGGTGAAGGCTTCCAGGATTCGATCATTCAGCAGTGTCTTTTGCAGGAGCCTTGGGAGGGGAAGCGTGTTCATTTCCCGACCTTGTGGGCCTTACACCTTTCATCCCCAAGCCTGACGGGCGTGAAGGGCCCCCCCCCCCGCCCACCCACTAATCCCCTTGTCGGTGCCCCCTGCCAGGCTTCGCCTTTTCCGTCATCGGCTCCCGGCAGTGGGGCGAGGCCACGCCCACGCTGGGCCTGGAGCTGGGCCCGGGCAAGAAGAGCCTCGAGGCGCCGCCAGGTTCTCTTAGGAGAAGTGGAGGGCGCAGTTCTGTAAGTGATGGTGACCCTCGAACTCTACAACCGGGGCGACAGAATTGAAGAATTGAGGGAACTGCCCTAGCAGTCGGGTAGGTGAGCTTCAATATGAATCGGAAATGATGATGATCATGATTGGGTTCTGAACTCTTGCGCGTCGAATCCAGACAGCACTTTGGAGCTCTGTCTGCAGGGAAGCCGGCACTTCTGGGTTGAAGGTTGGGAATGAAGGTTGCTGGGGGCCCCTGGGAGTTTGCGAGGTGAGAACCTCTACTTTGGGCGGCCGAGAGTCATGATTCCTGAGCCCCAAACCCTGAGGCCGGGGACGTGATCTCAGCAGATCTGGAGCTGCTCCTGTATCCCAAGACGGAAGAGGCACCTCGGAGTCGAGATACTGGAAATTTGCGGGGGATTCAGACTATTCCGTTGAGGTCGCATGGAGCACATTCCTTAGGGCCTCGTCGTCGTTGGCAGGATGCTAAACTTTGCTAGGGCTTCGGTTCAGGTTCTCGAGATACATTTCGGACTTCGTAGTTTGAACGTCCATCCCACCGGCTTGTTCGTTTAAGTCGTGGCTCGCATTTCCGAAGCCGTCCCCTTGCGAAGGTTTACTACGGGCCCTCCATGCGCCTCCGCAACTGGCTGTCCATGGAGCCCTGGGAGGCAGAAAGTGCCCACAGTCACCCGCACTCACCTGCTGCAGTAGTACAGCAATGCATTTTCTTCAGGTGGTGCAGCGTGCCGCAGTGGAAGCCCAACTCAAGGCCGGTTTCGGTCATGCCGGTGTGGGGTTTGGAGGGCAGGGTTTACAGGGTCTAGGGTGTAGAGGGTTCATAGGGCTTAGGGGTTTATTCTGGGTTTCGATGGTAGTTCCCTACTGCTTGGCAGGTGCAAGTGGTTGAAGGCGTCCTCCAGCGCAGCTACCCACCCAGAGTGGCTGTAAGTGCTGAAGGCGGGAGCAGTTGGCCCTGGGCTTTCCCGTTTTTTTTCCATCTTCCGCGCACGTCAGCTTCCATTCCTGGCCAGGTCGTGCGGAGTTCCGCTTCCACGTACCCGAGGGGTACCCAGGACGGCCCACTTGCCTGTTAAGTCAGAAGACACCGAGACACCAAGACACAGTCACTCAGAGAGTTCTCATGGAAGGCCTGATGCCCCTGACCATCGCGGGCATCTCCAATGGAGGGGGCCGCCTCTGCATCTGGGACGACGGCTGCAAAGAGCTGGGGGAAGGCCGGGAAGCAGCTCAAATCAGCTCAAGTCTCTATGGTGTTAGGCCTTCGGCTGTTTTCGCCTGATCTCGGGGGTAGAGGGTTTTTGGGTGGTTGTCTGTTTGGCTTGAGGAACGTTCGCACGATATTCACACATTATTGTTATTGAGGATTTGGCGGGGGCAGTTTAGGACGTTTTTTTGCCTTGACAAATTACATTATTAACTTGACTTTGAGGTTGGATCAATAGTTTAATTGTAATGCGGCCCAAAGAAGAACCAGAAATGAGGGCCGCTAATTGCATTTCATGGGCCATTCTTATGCTTAGTTTATATGGCCCAATATTTTCATACTTAGTCCGCATGCCAAAAGACCACGCAATATAATATTATGCGTGCGGTAAACACGTCAATGTGATATTATTACTCACACGGCCCAGTGGTATGAAGGGCCGTTAATAGTATTAAGGGCCGTTAAGATCGTATCTGGGCCTTCATTCGTAATCTTCTTGACGCCCTGAGGTGGCGAATTCCAAACGGACTACATCCCAGGAGAAGGTTTTGCACACACATTCAGCCACTGAGCCTGCAAGAGGTGTGCAAGAGGTCGCGGCTTTGCGGCTTTCCGTCATTCCCCGCAGTGCAAAGGGGGTGCTTGCGCAAAGCTCCCGAGGTTTGATGCCAGCCGAGTTTGGTTCTGAAAGGCTTTTCATCTTCGAAGAGGTCTGCCTGACGTAAGTCTTCCCGTGGAGGCCTTCGTCCTAGCAGAGCCTTTTTTCAAGCCCTTTGGGAAGTTAAGCTGGGTGTTTGCCTGCAGAGGCTTGTGGAATCCGAGCGTAACAAGTACCGTGAGGCCACAATGCGGCAGACTCTGGGTTTCAGGGCGGCGTGGCGCGTGAGTTGATGCGTAGCCGGCGTAGCTGGAAACTCTGCAGCGCGCACATTCGTGGGGCATCTGGCAACAGAAGAATGAATCTGGCCTTCTTTTGCATGTTCTTTGAAGAGTTCTATCTGTCGCCAGGGTACTTGTGGCTGCTCGGTGCCGTCGAAGGTTGCGCAGCCAGTTTGTTGTGCAATGGCAGACTTTTCCTCATGCAGATGCCATGGCAGGACACTGGCCGCTGAAATCGTGATCGCGAAATGGCACGACAAGTATGCCGGGCGGATGACGCTGCATTGACATCGATGTCGGGAACATTCGGGAATTGGGTGGGAACCCCATCCAGGAAATGGACGCGTGTGGAGCACTGTTAGCACGCCGGATGATTGGGTGTGCCTGGGCAGAAGGAAGAGCTTCTTTAAAATGTGATGCGACGAGTCGTGCATGGCCCTGTGCAGCCGTTATGAGACTCGACGCAGCAGATGGTTGATTGCTTCGACTTCCTCTTCTATCATGAATAGAAACTGGATAGTGCAGCGTTGTTTGGCTGCAGAGTCTCATTGCGGGGAAGATATCACGAAAGCCAGCGTAGAGTGTCTGTCGTTTCTATCTGCATTGGCAGCACTGTCGCCGACATACTTTCACGGGGAGTCCCATGGTGGAGTCCCCCGCCTTGCCACCTGTCAAAGCAACGTCTCAAGGAGGTCACAACGTGATGCCAAAAGAGAGCTTTCGTACGATTCGTACCAGTTGTATCAGTTGTTTGCCCCCGCTGTCCGAAAAGGCCATTGAAGGGGCCTGCACTCGACGCAGCAAGGCAACTCAACCCCCACAGTCCAGAAGCTCGGCAGAAACAGCAACGCACGGCTGAACTATTGGTAGGGCTAAAAGCAGCTAGACACAAACACGCTCAGTATCAGACTTCCTTCCCCGCGTGCCTCGGACTCGTGACCGCTGCCATGACCTGGGCCTTGGCCGCGACCGCGCCGAACTCAGCTTTACTTTTCTTGGCCCTTCAGTGTCTTTCAAGGAGTTGTGGCTCTTGCTGCCATGAGCATTCGTGGGTGGGCTTGTGTTGAAGCAAGCCCTTTTCTCCTTCCGACCTCAACCCTGAGGCGGCTGAAGCCGCACGGGTCTCGCGGCTTTGCCGGCTGCTGCCAAGGACGCCATGCTTTCCAGAGACAGCGCATGCAACCGGCACCTGCAACCGGTGTTGACGTAGACGTCTTGATTTGTCTTGCAATGCTTTGTGCAGCTCCATTCGCGCAGGCTGGGGTGTCTGCAACCTCACAGCAGAGGCAGCATGTGCTTTGGCGCCATGTTGCTCTGTGAGTTGTCGTATCGGTGGTTGGAGTCACACGTGCTAGTTCGGTGCAGCTGCCTTCAAATCTGAAAAGTGGCAGCTGATATGATCGGTTCTCTGAATGGTTGTCCTCTTCTTGAGCTCCCTGAATATACAGGGCCTTGGTATAACAGGGGCCTCCCCCAAAAGGATGAGTCTTTTTGGAGATCCGTCCATTCGGGTGCAGGCTTCTTGGGTGCAGCGAGCACACAAGAGGTTGCGCACCCAGCTTGGGAGTCTGTCCGGATGCTCTGGAGCCTCAGCTTTGCTCGCCTTCTGCTTAGCCAAAACCCACAGCTTTTAATCCCGTAGAAGAATAACATAACAATGCTACAATGTAGTAATACAATCGTATAATAATGTAAGAATGTAGGAATAGCAATAAAACCTAGGCATTGTAATACAGCCACATCATAAAATCACAATATCAAACGGAAATAATCTAGAAATATACTAATGTAGTATATGATAACAACATTAAAGCTCATCCGGTGCTCTCCCCAAGGCCTATGGCCGCTACCTCACCGCGGCCGAGCCCCCCAGGCTTCCGGCATCCGGCATTCTTCGTTCAGGGGTTCAAAAGGCTCAGCTTCGGGGATTTTGGGGTTTCGGGGCCCGGAAGGCTTTCGGGGCCATGGCCGAAGGTCTTCACCTCCCGGAAACATGCATGCTCACGCCGTAACCTAATCCCGCAACCCTCTCAACCTAAGCTCCACGACGATTCGTTTCCTGTCGCGCCTCGGAGGCTGCTGCGGCCAGCCGTCGGAGCTCTTGGAGCTCTTCCTCAGGCCAGTGCGGCCGGTGCGGGACATGGCGCAGCTTGGCTAAAGAGGGATACGAAAGGACCTGCAAGGGGTGAGAGTTGAAGCCTTCTCCACTCACATGTGTGGGTCACTCCGAACTTCTGGTGTTTCTGGGGTACAGTCCCTAAACCTTGGGTTTCGGGGGTTTGCAACCAGAGTGGCCCACTGTGCTCACGCTGGTTATGCGATGGTATGCTACTTGGCTATAGAATGCCTAGACTAGAAGAGCCAGTTTAAGGATACCTCTCCAAGGAGTTTTCTGGTGCTTGTCCGACGGCTCTCAAAAGCTCTCTCTCTCTCTGGGCTTCCGGACCGTACCTGCTTGGGCTCTTGAGCCTCGGAGTCGGTCTTTACCGAAGAGCCCGAGGAGATTGTATCATCATGAGCCATCCATGTTAGAACACATTGACACTTTGTGACCTATGGCATTTTTGTTTGGTGGCTTGGGCCAGGGGGCACTGAACGGAGCCCACACCACAGCGCACGCCTTGCGTGCTCGTGTGCGGAAGATTTAGCAGAACCTCAACCTCTACCCTAAACCCTAAACCCTAACCCTAAACCCTAACCCTAGACCCTAAACCCTAACCCCAGGTGTTGGGACCGATGGTGCAGCAGGCGCCAGAAGAGGGGAACGGACCGTTCCAATTTGAGCTTGGCGTTGAGGATTTCGGGTGAATGAAAGTCCTGCTTTCAGGTGCCTCTTTTGTGATTGACACTGAATGAAAGAACACCCGTTGAGTTTAGCCTGCAGAGAGGTGCGGTTTGCAGGGCGAAAATTGGGCATCAAGCAAAAGCGGAAGAATGTCTTGCTGCCACGCTTGGAGTTGAATGTCCTGTTTCGAGAGCGAGGGATAGCCAGGGATAGCGAGGGCCAGGGGATAGAATCAAATGAACAGTCTGAAATGAGGACGCACAGAGAGACACAACGACACACCCTCTGATAAAAGTCAAAGTCGAGTAGGTCTAAGTTTTCGCTGCGCAGCTGATCGGGTCGTTGTTCAATGTGGCGTTCTAAGCCGATTTTCCCAAACCCACGACCAAACCCAAGACTCGTGTGGAGTTGCCTTGACAACCTTGTGGCCCAAGTGAGTGTCGGTTGGGGAGTTTCTGTCTTCGCAAGTCCCCGTTTCATATACTGGATCAAAACCATGCCTGCGCAACCCCAGAAGCATTCCAAGAGCTCCCCAGATACACAAGTGTCTATCTGCCTCTCCCTCTGCTGTTTCCTTTCTGTCTCTCCCTCTCTCCCTCTCCCTTTCTGGACGACTTTCTGAAGAGTATGTGGCTGGATGTGGAGCTGAAAGCTGTGAAGGCCATGAACTCCCACTGCCCTGAATTCTCAGGTCGTGTGCACCTTCCTCCGTTTTCGGTGTTTTTTTTTGGTGTTGAGTTTTATCGTTTTCAAGTCCCATGGTCTAGTCTATCATTCTCGCTGGCAGTTTAGGCTTCCAGAGCTTGGTCCCAAGCAGGGATGGGTCAGGGATGAGGAGCAAACTATCTCCATGAACCAGCGTTGACAGTCACTTGCTTTGCGCCCTCCCAGGTGAATCTTTTGAGTGGGTTGCTAAAGATTGTTGGTTCGATTTGGTGTTTTTCCGCTGAAAGCTACTCTAAACTTAAACCCTAATACCTGAACCCTAACTTCTTACTAGTACCCCAAACTTCCCTGCTCTACACAACAGCCTCAGTAGCACAATGCCTTGAACTCTCTTTCAAGAATGCCCCTCAAACCCTAAACCCCCAGAAGCTTGTCTTGCACCGAAATCCCCAAACTTGAACCATAAACTCAAAATGCTCTGGGCCAGGCCCGAACGAGGACGGTGCATCAAAAGGCCATCGGATTCACATCCCTGAGTTTGTAGAGGTTCGGGTTTTTACATGGCTTTGCTGCAGAGTTTAGCTGTTGACGTTTTGGGGGAGATTTCGGGGGCCTTGCACAGGGTTGCTCCAGGTCGCGTGTCAATACAGAAAGAAGCCGACCAGTCCACCCGCAACTCTTGCGGATTGTTCTATAACTGTACTTATAACCATATTAAGGCACTTAAGGGGCTTATAAGTGGGTTATAAGTACAGTTATAAGTAGTTACTAAGTACCTTGAACCTCCAAGTAGAGACTCTGCAAATCTTGATGCCTTAGCCGGTGCAGGGCCTGGGAAAGCGCATGGAGATGTATTGGCCGCAGAAAGACATGCACCGGACTAGGATACCTATGTGATGCCCTCAGATCAAGCAGTTTGCAGCGCAAATGTCTCTGTTCACGTTTAGTGATGTGGTGTCTTACGCGCGGCATTGTTGCGTGCTTGTTGCGCGTCCTCGTATTCGCCCGATCGGTGGGGCTTCGGAGGTATGAGAACAGCAGGCGCCATGCCGGGATCCTGGACCAGTCTTCGGAGCTTTATGTTCGGAAACGGTGCATGGACCTTGAGTGGTAGATTTTTTTCGAAAGAAGGTGATATGGGACCACCGCATGCAGAGATGGATGGTTCGTTGCTCAGCCAGTGCGGTGCAGACTCGGCGATTTTTTTTTCTTTCTCTCTCTCTCTCTCTTCGAGTCAGAGCTTGCGAGCTTGCTGCGAGGTGATGTGGTACAGACATGGCATCCAGGCAGCCGCGGCAGCTTTGCAGTTGTCCATCTCATCCCTGTTCCGCGCAGACCTTTTCCCGCCGAGCGATGTGTCGTTTTTCTCCGCTCCGTGCTATGTGGAGCTCCATGGTGGGGCCTGACACACCGATGCGGGAGCGTGCGCTGCAGCTCGCACGGGCGTTGTATGGGTGCTGGGAGACCGGGGCCTTGCCTGCCGGAAGCACGGGACTACGCGGGTCAGGAGAGCTGTGGGACAAACCTCACTTCCGGACTCCTCGTCCTTCTTCTTGTTGCCTGGTTACTTGATATGATTTGTGTGAATTGTGCTATGTTGTGCTGCAACAGCAGCACAGCCCTTTGTGGAAGGTTTTTCGCTGGTTCAGCGGCCGGAAAGGCAAGTTCGAGCAAGGCGCGACATAAAAGGTGCCTTAGTTCCAGGTCCTGAGGTCAACACTGACACCAGACTGCCACGCCAAATTGTAGTGATCGTTCTAGCAAACACGGCAGCGGCTTTGGTGCAGAAGCTTTCCGGATCTCAGGAGTGAGTACTAGTCACTCCCAAGAATCCTTGCGACGGTCTTGGTATCAGAGTTGAGGGTTCATTGGGTTCATTGGAACCTCCGGACACGGCAGAGGGCGCACGCGTGCCATCCTCTTCTACCAGCAGCTGCGGAATGCCGGTGCGGGCACTCAGTTGATCTCAGAGGCGTGCTGTGGCGTGGGGATGTGTGGGGTGTCTTCGGTTGCAGTCCGACCCAGGGAAGCTGGGAAGCCCGAAGCCGGACCAGTGTCGCAGCGGTGTTCGTGGTGTCTTCTTCGATAAGGAGGCTCCCAACACTCCGCAGCTCAAAACATCTGCCACCCGCTTGGCTGTCGAGATCCGTTGAGGAGAAGTCGTGGGTGGCGCGTTGGAGCAATTGCGGCATGAAGACCTACGCCATGTTCAGCACTGAGGCACCCAGAGTTGTGCTGCCCATGTGCTGGTTCTCAGAAAGGGTTCTTTGATGTGGTCTGGAGCTTTGTTTGTTGACTTCAAGACCCCTGTTTGGCAAACTCCTGCTGCTCCTGATCGGTTGTGCGACGTGAGCCTTGCGTGCGAGCCGCAAAGAAAGGGTGAGATGGACGGGGTCAGAGCGGACACCCTGAACCCCCCGGCGCCGGGAAGGTTCTCGAAAGAAAGGAGCCAGGAAGCACGACGTAAAACAGTTGGTCACCATCAACGCGAACAGTCGCCACTTGCAAGGGCGGCGCCAGCACCAGGATGCACAAGTCCAACTCAGCTTGCATGAGGAAGGTGATAGGATTCCTGACAAGACACTTAGGCGGGGTTCTGGGTTCTTCGTGCGGGGTTGGGGGGGGGGGGTGGGGGCTGTAAGGATGTAAGGGAAGAAGAAAGCCGAAGAATCGCCAGCTTGTGCAGGAGCTTGGCTTTCGCAAAGCCTACGAGGAAGCCATCCGCGTTCGAGTGCAGAGCGTGCGCCATCTGCAGTCCTCCGCACAAGCATGGCCTTTTTCTGGAGCTTTATGGCGTTCGGCATGGAGAGGTACGACAAAACCATCAGTTCATGCCGGATCCCCAGTAGAGTTTGATGCACCTTTGCAGCTGCCTAGCAATGTTGCCGCCAGGTTTCAGCGGACACGATGGAAAGGCCAAAGAAGACCGCTCGGACAGCCACACACCTGACACCTTGCGAGCCGAGTCGTATGGCCCTTCACAGCCAGTAGACCTCACTTATAGCAGTATGCTATCTGCCATACTATGTCACATGATGTGCTCCGTACGCCGTCGAGCGGCTCGCCTGTTGCCGCTGACATGGCCCTGAGATGCCCTGAGCCTTGTCCCTCGCTGAGAAAAAGCAGTTCGTACGCAAGGGGACAGGGCAGTGCCACGAAGCAAGTAACCTGGAGTTGGAGTTTGCAAGATTGGTGGCAGAATGCGGTGTGTCATGGGCAGCATAGCAACTGCAAAACCCGCGCTCGATGTCTACAGTCTACAGACCGTTCATGTGCCTGGCTGTCAGCGTTCGCAGAGTGAAGACTTATGAACTTCTGCGCGTCCTAATGGAAGGCGCAAAGCAGATGCACATCATGAGGTTCTGCGGTGGATTAGACTTATAGTTCCCGCAAGCCGCGGAGACCGGAGCTCCCGGACGTACTTACATGATTTTACATGGCTACTACATGCAAGCTTAGGGCTTCGTCTTTTGGGCTGTTTTAGCCTGAGACTTCGTCATGGCCCTGGCATGTCAATCGCTGGATCTTCCGGAGGAGCGCACGTCGCCTTGCAATCCAGACAGCCAAGTTCACATGGTGCGAACCGCCCGTATCATCCTGAGAGGACAGCCAGCCGCATAGTGATGAGGAGCCGCAGGCTGGCACTGGTACGCCAGAGGTTCCTTTACAAACCCTTGAAGCTCGAAGGGTGCCCGCCGCAGTACAGTAGGAGCATCGACTACGCAGGCTCAAACTATTCAATGGATCGAGGATGTTTTACTAAAACACATGGACACTGTCACCAATACTCTGGTAGTGCAAGCCGCCAGCATTGTTTAGACTCACGACGCTATCCTTGCCGGGACGCTGCCGGTCCCTCTACTTTTTTCGGATCTCTGGGTGACCCTTAAGGCCTCCTAGGACGCGCGGACGCGCCATGCGGCGTTGCGTGGCTCTCGCGGCCTGCACTTCGGCCATGGGCTACTCCTTCGAAAGCTGATCGGTCGCAGAAGAAAGGCACAGCTCTCTGTGATTGAGCTTATGCCGTCTGTGAGTTGAGGCCACGTGGGCTGCAGCTACTCCCACATCTATCCGGAGCAGCAGCCAAGAGTCAAGCGAGATTGTTGCCTCACCAGTGATTCGTGACATTTCCTCCTTGCAGGGAGGCAAGGCTAGCTACGTAGCTGGAAGCAAGAGCTGCTTGTATTCACATCGAACTAGTGAGGGTCAACCTGTGTCGACGTGACATTGCATCGCGGCAGTGGAAGATGCGTCCAAGCCTGAGGTATGTGGCATACAAGACGTCGGAGCTGTTTCCGGGGAGCCTCGACGGGGACCTCACAAAGAAGGTCTGGGAAGACGTCGTCTGGACCAAGGCGGCGCTGGCTTTGTGTGGTTTGTGTGAGTGCATGATGATACAGTGATTGTGCACTGTGTTTTAATGTGTTTTAGCTGCAGCTGTCTGCAAGTCCAAGCTGAAGTTTTCTTCCAGACATGGTGTTGCGACATCCGAAAGCCAGCGCTCTGTTAGCTGCATTCGTCGGCGTCCTTCAAGGATGTGGAGAGCCTACGTACAACGAAGGAATTGCAGCAGTATGCCATTCAAATTGCCAGGATTACTGCCAGACGTGTGTCCGTTCGCGGTTTGCGGACCGTGTCGGGGATGACCCTGTGCCACACAATTGGATCAATGCGTGCGGCTACAACGCCAAGACGTGTCCTGAGCCGTTTAATTGAGTGGGCCGGCGCAGGCAGCTTTGACATGCTTTGCCATGCTTGCAGCCTTGACATATGCTGCTCAGTTCGTCAACGGCCACTTGGATATCGCCTGACATTATGTGATGAGGTTTGCAACAAGTTTCGTCCTTGGGGAGTCTGTACCTCTCTGTACAGGATTGTTTGTTGCCACACCAGCGGGCTGATGCCGGATACGAAGGCCTTCAAGCCTCGTTGTGTCTGCGAACAGCGCGCTCCAACCTGATCTTTCCCGTCTAAAACCTGCAGGTTGCCAATCTCACCAAGAAACACACAGGTCACCAGCAACAACTAGGACAACACCACCACTGCCGCCGCCACCGCCACCAGCAGCACCACCACCACCCACCCACCCATTTAACAGTTCTTTCCTTGCGCTGTTCCAGGACTTCGTTGATATCTCCACGCACACTCAGCCGCGACTGCGCACCCGTGCGAAGATGCGGTGGGATGACAGGCCGGTGGTGTCTTCCAATATCGTGCCCACTCTCGCAGGTCTCAGGGGAGTGTGCTTGCATTCTGTGCAGGGGTCTGTACTCCCAAAGCGTCTAGTCGATCTCAGCCCACATAAGCCGCAACCCTCCACCCCGCCCATACAGCCTAAACCCTTACGCTAAGCCCCAACAAAGAAACGGGGAGGTTCCTGTACATCGGCGCCGAGCTCCAGGAACCCCAGCCCTGGGCCACGCTGACGGCGCACGACAGCGTCATCTTCCAGGAAGGGGGCTTAGGGGATTTTTGGGTTTAAGTTTTGTAGTGCATACAAGTTGTGGATGTTAGGGTTTAGGGCTTAGGGTGTCGGGTGTTTTGGGGGTTTTTGGCCGGGTTATGGGGTTTCGGGGGGATGTAGGGGTTCAGATGATTTGAGGCAAATTTGGTGTTTTAGGGTTCGTGAGCGCTTGTGGTGCATGGCCTTCTGCAGCTCTGCAGGACAATGACTTTGAGGTTTTCGTTGACGCGAATGCAGCCTGGATGTGCAACATTTTGTAATGACCTGGACATTGTAGGTCTAGACGGTCCTGTGTCGCTGCGACGGATACAAGGCCACCACCCACTTCTACAAGGAGTTTGAGATGAATGCTTTCAATACAACCTGGGAACTCTGCCTCAACAAGCCTTATGGTGACGGCGGATATGTGCCATGGCATGCACGAAGCATGGGGACTGCTACCGCGAAGTTCAATTCAAGAGCATCTGCTAAGATCTGCTAAGAACCGTCAGGAGAACTCCACGCGCGTTTATGGCAGCAAGGGCTGGACCATGGAGCCCCCGCTGCGCTGTGCGGCGAACGTGCAGCCTCTTGGGGCTCTGAACAACCCGAAGCTTCCGGCGGCTGTGCTGCAAATGAGACATTGGCCAACTGTGCCATGAGTTTATCAGTAGCCCTCGCTTCTAGCACGGACCATCAGGGTGAGCGCTGGACCGTCGAGATTGCGCTGCCGCTGGCCAGCCTGGCTGAACGGACAGGCTGTTTCTGGGATTTCTGGGTCAAAGAGTCAAAAGATCTATACAGCAGGCGTTGCTTCCCATGCGTTGTGCGGCCTGTCGGGTTGTGCAGGGGCTCGAGCACCTCCGCGCCCCGGCGACTTCTGGCGCGCAAGCTTCAGCCGAGTGCAGTGGGCCGTCAAGGTGCGACCGCTTGGACACGTGCAGGCAGCATGCAGGGAGGGCTGTGACTGCGTGCCCAGGTGAACCCCGAAACTGGCGGCTACGAGAAAAGCCCCTCTTGCCAGTCGTGTCCTGAGCCGGGAACGGCCCACGAGGACAATTGGGTCTGGTCTCCTCAGCCTGACACTCAGGGCTTGGGTTTTGCCTTGCACCCTCTTGGGCTCCCATTTAATTTAGAGGCTCTTGCATCCTCAAGGAGGGCGGCATTGCGGGGGCCCCCTGACCACCAGGTATGCCATCCAGATGCACCAGCCGGAAACTTGGGGCATCCTTCAATTCGAGGACTCCACCGAGGTCGGTGCCACGTACTACCGGGTCGGGCGCCCGTTTGATGATGGGGTGTTCCGGGCCACTAAGCCGCGAAACGCCCGGAAACACTCGCGGGTTCCAAGGAGTGGCCGAGCCGAAGTGCGGCCATGGCCATCTACTATGCGCAGCATGCGTATGCTGCAAAGCATGAAGGTGCCGAAAGTGCTCGGTGTCAATGTCTTGCTCTCCTGGCGCAGCGTCGACTTTGCACGCTGGAGAAGTCAGACCTTGCTTTGACAAGCTGGGGAGGTGCTTTCACCACGCAGCTGCACGACCTGCTGCAGTTTTCTTCAGAGCCTTTCCCTGTTTGTGCCCGGGAAGCAGTTGGGACCTCCATGAAAGACTGCTCCCGTGCCTTTGTTGCCTTTGTGGGTTAGGTGCGGATGCGGACACCATCATCAGTGCGGCAGGGGAGGGCAAATCGGCTATGTTTGAGGCCGGACAGTTTGACGGTGAATAGTGCAATGCGGGAATCGCTGGTCTTGAGAATGACCCATTCAGAAGGATAACAATATGGGGCTTTCCGGCTTACCGGTTTACCCTTGTCCCAAGAGGACGTTCTGCAGATATGCTTGGATGCAGATGTGAACCTTACTGCACAACACACATATAGACATCGAAGCTCTGTCATCCCTCGTCGAAGCTGCTTTTATCCCTCAACCCTAAAAACCCTGGTGAATCTTACTAACAAAACCCAATCTGAGCACGATGTAACAGGGGCCCTGACAGGCCACAGTGCGGTCCCCGGCCAGCCCAGAGGTGGCGGCCACCGTGCGCTCAGACCGCTACCTGACGGTGGCAAAGTGAGCAGAAAAGTCTGGAACGTCTCTGAAAGGGGGCTTTCCGCGAACCCACTTTAGGTGTGCTCCCTCTTGTGTAGTTAGGGATAGTGTGCTAAAGAAGCGTCCTCATGGGATGTGTTGGCATCCTCGCTTTAGAGATATAGCCTCAGCCACCGTTACAGGCCCGAGAAGAGCCCTATAGGCGCAGAACCCTAAGCTCACCTCTAACAGCCTTGCCCCCGCAACTCTGCGACGCTTAGCATCGGAGCGAACAGCCTCCGCCCCTTCCGCCCCTAAAGAGAGTGGCCAGGGGATGCTGTCGCAGCTTCGCGAAGCACTCCGCGGGTCCTGGCTCGCTTGCTTTTGTGCCTGAGAGGTTCGGGGGACCTTTGGTCCTTTGGGTGCTTGAGGGGGGTTCAAAGTTGAACTAGGCTTTCGAGCAGGTGTTGACTGCTGTCTATCTTGAAGAGCCGCCTGAGCCCCCAACAAAAGGAACACAGATTCATAGCCATCTGCAAGATGTTCGTGCGCTGGCTTTTCGCGTCGCATCTCTTTTGTCTGACGGCGGAAGAAGGCGCTGTGAGCTCCACGCGTCCAGGCGACTTTGCGGACTCCGACAACAAGGTGTCAGAGACTTCCCTCCGAGATGTTTCTGGCAGTGGCCTTGGCGCTGTTCACCACCCAATTTCATGAACCTCATTGAAAGCCAGGATCCCTACATAATGCAGTGTATTTATACTATTATAAAACCTCAAGGCTCCCTGGACACTGAACCCACGGTTCCCATCGACTAGCTCAGGCTTCACGGATGAGGTCGCGGAGACCCTGGAGACTCGGCAGCATCAAGCGCGAGCGATGCGGCAGCAGGGCCTCAGAAGCCCTAAACGGAAAGCTTCCAAAGCTTTGAGGCTTTGAGATTCAATTGACGGTTTACCCTAAGCCCGAAACCCTCCACCTTAAACCCTAAACCCTTTAACCCCTAAACCCCCAAACCCAGAAACCCCAGAAACCCTAGAGTTCAGGGATGCGAAGCCCTACATGCCCTGAAGCTCTGAGGCGGCGCAGCTCGGGCCCGGCCCATGGTGCCGATCCCAAGAAAACGGGGGGCCGATTAGGGGTTGCCATGGTGCCTTTGAGAGTATTTGGGGGGTTTAGGGTTTAGGGTTTAGGTTTAGGGTTTAGGGTTTGGGGTGGCCAAGGGAGTTGGGGAGTTGAGAGGGTGGGAGGTGAAGGTCTTGGGTGTCTCAGTTGGTCCTGGGCTGTGTAAGCATGGAACTGCCTTCGCTTGCCATCATGACTGGCGCTGGGTAGCAAGTTTGTAGAGGTCCATGGCCCTGCTCCTAGAAGGCATGTCGAGAAGCTTGAGCAGCTATTCTTTGGTGCTGCTGGTGAAGAGCTGGATGAGGACCCTTGCTGCGCTCATGTGATTGCAGACGCACATGCGGCCTGCATGGGCGGTGAACTTCTAGGAGCCCACCAGTTGTGGATCCTCTCCGGTGAAGGAGCCCAGCGTGGTTGACTTCGGAGCATAACGGTAGCAGCTAAGCATCTGCCAGGGCTTGCGGGCGCACTCCCCGCGTCCGCAGTGGAGCTCGACTGTCTCGCCTATCCGTAGGCAGTCGCAGAGTCTCAGCATCGTTTCGCTTGGGCGTCCTTGCCTGCCCATTAGCCGCAGGCGGCACACCGTAGGCTTTGCATCCGAGGCCAGGCATCCGAGCTTGCCTGTTGCCTAACTTGGTGTTTGGGTGTTGTGTAGATGAACTTTGATGGCAGGTGCCGAGCTATACGGATGCCGATGACATGGAGGATGATGGGTGTGCCACCCAGCTGCTGCCCGCTATCTTTGACTTGACTTTGAAGACGCTGCACATGCGGCGTTGAAACAAGTCCCCGTGGACCCGGTCACTCAAGGTGACTGTGCAGTGTACATGTCTACCATCGGCACGAGTGCCTGCATGGTGCCGCGACACGAGGGTCAGCAGGCAGTCGGTGAAACAACACAAGCATGAATCACGAGAAGGAAAGATGCTGCAACCACTCTTTCCAGTCGTGGGCAAAGTTTCGTGCATCATCACCGGCGGTCCCCTTCCATCCCGCGTGTAAGAGATCTCCACTGAACAAACGTAGGCAGCTCACCTTGACCTGGCACAGCAATTGCTGCCCCTGTGTACTTAGCCACAACCGAATCTGAAAGCGCTGTAGCACGAGACAGACATGTGTCTCACCGTCACAGATGCAGGAATATTCCGTTTTTTCTGCCCAGATTGGCGAAGGTTGCTGATGCCCGAAGTTGACACACTGCTGAGCTGCCCGCTTGTCACACATGGGGTGTGTACAACAGTGCATGCTACACCTGGCAAACCCGACAGAGCATGTTTCGTGCTTTCCTCAAGTGCATGGCAGCGCTATGCAGCCCTTGTGCGAGGCTTGGCCAGTTGTCCGCACAAGTGGAGGCAGCTCTGCGAGGAGAGGAGGAGGTGCAACATACCACCATCGCGACACAATCGTTGGGGGGCAAAAAAGGCCATGTGGAAGTAAGCTGGTCTCCCTGCCAGGTCACGAACCTGCTTCCTCTACTGCGAAGGCAGCTGCTGGTTTTCCGTCCGTTTGTTTTGGTTGGTTCTCTCGCTGAGTCTCAAGCATATAGCATGTAGGGATGCTGGCAGGACGTGGCGTATTGCGCAAGGCTTGGAGCAACAAAGGCCTGTGAAAGTGAAGTCCTGACAAGTCCTCTGAAATCCTCTGAAGGGCCTCTAGTCAGAGCTGCTCGGAGAGGGCGACGCAACTGTGACTTTTCAGGCATCGGCTTCAGTGCGAGGCAGGCCGCTGAACCGAGAATCCTCCCGGGCTCTTTCTCGTCCCCTTGTCCCAACCCAGACCCAGTTGTTCTGGGTCTCTGCTGCGGTAGTCTGCCAATGTACTTCTAGATTCCTAGAGCATTGCGAGGCTTGGAGTATGCTCTGATCCTTGCGTAGCCGCTTTCTTTATCAACCTCACCTCACTTCACTTCACCCGTTGCACAAGGCGAAGTTGCAGAGCGAGCGCGTTGCGAGCGCCTACCCCTCAGCATTCGGGAGGCAGAAGCTTAGGGGCCTGGGCGTGGCCTTGGCACAGCCAGGGGGCGAGCTGTGACTCAGGCCGAAAACGCTCGAGCTTCCGCGGAGGCTCGTTGGACAACCCAAGTCGTCGCATCCCCGAGTCCCGAAAAGCTTTGGCGTGCAAGTGCCAGGCTGCCGAAGCCGTGGCGCAAGGCGCCCTGCAGACTGCAGGCCAACGCCAGGCAGCAAGAACGGGCACCCAGACTTGGTCCTCCGGCTTTATTGGGCTCGCTGGTTGGGCTCCTCGTGTCGTGAGGTCGGGAGTCGCTCAAGCGACGTGAGGAGGAGCTGGAGGAGGAGGGGCAAGGGCAGTACCCCTTTGATGAAGACATATTCCCGAACTCTCCACCAGGATGCCTCTTCAAACAATCTTGAGGAGTGCCATACTCTAAGTACGACTGTAGGGGTTCAGGGAGCCTTTGGGAGTGTTTACATTGGCTGATCGCCGACAGCAACCCTTAAGCGTCTGAAACCCCCAAACGCCCAAACCCCAACCACTCCCGAACCCCTGGACTGCCCTTAACCCCCTAAGCCTCAACTAGACCCGTAAATCCCTAAAGCCATACCCCTAAGTCCTAAACCAATCCTGCTGCCAGGCCAGGCTTCGTTCTGAGGGTTTGGAGGCAGAAGTGGCGCGGCAGGCGGAAGTGTGGGCTTGGGGCTCATTTCATCCGGGGGAGGAATTGCAGGGAAGGGGGCTGCTTCGCTGGGAAGCTTTGGTTTTGGATTCCGCGGCCGCCGGGCTTCGCAGAAAAAGGGCTGTGGCGCCCTCCCCCTGAGGCATCAAAAGGCCCGGGGTCCCAAGCTCTTCGCTGGCAGGCGGCGCGGCTTCGGAGTCTCGAGGCGCTCGGTTTCGTCTCCTTTTTTTGTTTTTCTCTTTTTTTCGGGGTTGGGGGGGGTGGTTGGCGTGGGGGGGGGGGCAGTGGGAGCTTTGGCTGGGACGTTCTTGTACACTTGAGCTTGCAACCGCAAGTGAGATGATCAGGTTCGGTATCCAGCCTCCCTCCGTTCCTTTTCTCTCGCTCTCTATCCCTCACTTGGTTGCTTCTTTCCATCGTTGCCTTCACTATTTCTTCATTTTTTTTCATTCGGGGGCCTCGTGGTATTGGCGTAGTTGGCTCGGGCTATGGCAGCTGATACGAACGGCAGGCTTTGCGAACTCGGTAGGATTCGCCTACGCATGCCTACGCCCGATCGGCTCAAGGGGGCGGCACTGAGCCCTGGGCCAAAGCTCCCGACCTGCAGGAGGCCGGAACAAGCTGAACCACACGAAACCCCAAAGCGTGAACCGGACCTCTGCCAGGTCGCCAACGAAGTCGGCGAGATGTGGAAGGTCAGGTCTGGGCCGAAAAGTAGTTCATTGCAGTCCGCCGACCCTGAGCCCTAAAGGCCCTAAACTTCAACATGACAACCAAAAGCCTCATCAACGAGTGGGGGGCGGGGCGGCCGGAGGGGTGTGTAACCGCAGAGCGTAAAATTCCAGGAGCGACTGAAACCCCAAAAAAGTCCAAGTTTCCAAGGTGCGGCCAGCGTGCCCTGGCATGAGATCGTGGAGCAGCTGTGCACTTGTTTTCACGCCCTAGGAATCGAAGAAAGATCAGCGAACGGGTGTGAAGCCACTGCAAGCATGTCTATGGCAACGGCCTGAACAATGCCACGCCAAGGCACAGCTGCTTCGGGTGCTGCACCCTCACCGTGGGGGTGGAGGCTGGTCACTGCATTCTTGAAACACACTCGTAGCATTCGGCTTCACTTCTGTGATGTTCTGGGTGCTCCCTAGGCTACCTGCTTCCTCTCGCTGCTGGTGCAGTGACTTGGCATTCGCGGCAGCTTGCATACTTCCGGACTTTTCGATGAGGTTGCTAGTTCCCACGGACTCCATTGACCCCCCAGCTTAGATTCCGTTCCATGCTCAGGGTTACCATCATCTCCCTCTGTTCCTCTGCGGAGACCCTGTCGCTTGTGGGCTTGAAGGTGGGATGCTCAGCTTGGCATGTTGGGATTGTGCTAGGAGGCCACGCCTTTCGCTGCCGTGATAGGGACATCGGCATTGACCCTTGCGTGGGTTGGGGTTGGGGTTGTTGGGTGGGGGTCTACACAACTCTTTCGCGGTGCCAGACGTGCTAAGCTGGGTTCTTTGTTGGAGCCGGTTATGTGGGAAAGCCAGTCGTGCATGAAACGGTGTCTGCGACCTCCCCCTTCATCAAGCCAGCCCTGAACCCTAAACCGCAAACCCTGAACCCTGAACCCTGAACTTCCTAGGCCCTAACCCCAAGCCCAGGTGTCCCCGCAGATTCAAGTGATCTGTGCCTCCTGGGCCCTGGTTCCTTGGCCGAGCGTTTTACGGTCGAGGGTGGCTGTTTTTGTTGGAAGGGCTTACTCAGTGGTTGGAGATGGGAGTTTGACTACATGGCTGGCAACACGTCCCTCGAGAAGAAAACACGAACCCTAAAGACCTCGGAGCCCACGCCAAGCATGTCTGAGGCAGGAATCCCCGTGGTCATCGCCGCTGGTGTTGGCGTGCTCTACCACGTGGACCACCTGTTGCGGCACCTTGGAGCAATTAGGGTGAGTTGACAGTTGAGGCTTCAGGGGGCTTCCCACCGACGGTCACCGAAGTGTTTCAGGACATTCTTCTGGTACTTGGTCATCAGCTTTCCCCTGGGCATTTCTGTGCCTGCTTGGCTGCTGCTCTCTGGCAAGGCGAGGCTGCTTTTCTAGTTTGACAATGTCTGACACATTAATGGTAATCTGATCCGGGTTAAATGGCGAAGGGTTTGGGGTTAGGGTTCTGCGCGCCTCCTCCTTGGATTTGGTACCCGTGTGCAACCAGCGCCTGCCAAAGGCTCGGCACGGCGGAGTATGCAGGAAGGGCAACCAAGTCCTGCAACGTACCCAAGCCCTTAAAGCCAGCTAAGCCCTAAACCCTGAACCCCAAACCCGAAACCCCATCTGGAAGGTGTGCGACAGTGTGGTCGAAGACGAGATCCAACGTCTTGGCTCCGCCTTCGTCTGTGGCTTCACGGAGACCGGTTTCCTGCTGGTTGGTCCGCAGAGAGCCAATACTCTTACTTGCCGAACGTACTGTAAATGACGTTAAGAACCCAACGTGAAAGCAAGGAATCGTTCTAACGGAAGGGAACAGTATTGGCTCTGAGTTCAAAGTTCGGGTCCCTTTGGGTCTCTTCTGTTGAGTTCTTTCAGCGATTTCTTTGATCAAGTGTACTAGGCCCGGCCATGTCGTGAACACAAGGCTTCCAATAAAAGTGGCAAAGGCGAGCTGATTTCCAGAGGATTCAAAAGCATTCAATTCTTCTTGGGTTGGTCCTGGAGACTAGTCGAGGCATATTGGGACCCTCTAACCAAGCCTAGCAATTGGAGATGCGTCCACGAACCACAGAGATGTGGGGTCGTGGGAGGAGACCTTTGTGTTCATGTGGACGACAGTGGCCGCCTTGCTGCATGCGTATTTGGCCCGGCCGGCTTGTTGAGTTAATCTCCCCAGAGTGTGAGGGCAGACATGTGTCCCTAGACGCGAAAAGCCCTAAAAACGAGCTTGAGATGGTGTCCGCCAGATCTACGTGGTGTGGTCCGCCGCAGAGGAGATCACTGAGATGACTTACAACTCCGTGCACTTTGGCCCGATTCAGAGTGGATCTCCCTCAAGCCGAGAGAGTCAGGTGAGCAGAGAGATGCGAGAAGCTGGGCCAGCAAGGTCGCCGAAAGTCAGGTGGCCCAAGAAAAAGAGAAAGAAATACAACCAGGGCCATGACTGCAACGCAACACTTCTTCGTCCACAAAACCTATACGCGCCCTCGAGATTTTCGACCTTTCCTGGCTCCAAGGGCCCTCTCGGCATACTCCAACAAGCTCCAGTTCATGGCAAGCATGGGCGAAGCGGCAGCGCCAGGGATGCCATCGGCCCACCGCTCAGCTCTGCGCAGGTGGTGCATCTTAGGGCCTTAGGGCTCTCGTTTCGGTATTCCCTTGGCAGCCTGGCTAGTCATGTGTTAAAGAAACGAGACGGTGAAGGTCCCGGTGATGATGCCCGGGCTGACAGCGCCGCAGCCTTGGCAAGCCCAGGTAGGGGCGGATGGGATTCAGTCGGATTCAGGTGCGTTCCGTGTCACACATTGGAGGGTTTTGTCCTACTGGTCCCATTGTAGAAGCAGTCGGAGCCCAGTAGGAGCCCCCACCTACGAGACCGTACCCTAACAATGAAACTCATGGTCACCTGCAAGTCGCTCTCTTTCGCAAAGGGGGCTTTCAATGGGCTTGCGCTGCCATTTTCTGCTGCTAGATGCCGGCCCAAGACATCATCCCAAAATTGATTCTTCCTAAGACCCGGCCGCGTGTACAGTGCAGACTGCGATAGACGCTGAGGAGCCGCGCCATGGCGGAGGAAGACCTTAGGGAGGAGGCTGCGCCTCGGGCGACGGAGGCCTACGTCATCGCGGCCCAGGGGCAGGCTCTGGAGCTCCAGTGCATCCTCCTACCACCCATGACAGAAACGTTGGTGGAGGTGGAGATAAGCCATTGTGGCCTCAGCCGCGCGGACATGCACATGCGTGACAATGCCTGGGGGGTCTCCGACTTCCCCCTTGTTGTTGGCCATGAAGGCTATGGCACCGTCAGCAAGGTTGGGAGCAAGGTTCAGAGCCTCAAAGTAGGGGACAAGGTGGGAATTGGCTGGATACGTGATTCATGCAGACTCTGCTCCGCCTGTGGCGAGGGCAGTGAGCATCTGTGTGAGAGTGGGTACCAAGGAACATTCCTTGGCAGCTCTGCAGGCCCTTTCGGCAAAATACCGAGCAATGAATTCGGCGGCTGCTTCTCAAGGATCGTCCGCATCGAAGAGTCCTTTGCGTTTTTGATCCCCCCAAATCTGCCGCCCGAAGTGGCGTGCCCCTTGATGGGCGCAGGCACCACCATGTACGAACCCTTGTGCACCTGGGTTAAGCCCGGAGCCAGTGTAGGCATTGGCAGCCTTGGCGGCCTCGGCACGCTAGGGGTGCTGCTTGCAAAGAAGATCGGTGCAAAGGTCACCGTTTTCAGCCAGAATCACGAGAAGCGTCAGAGAGCCCTCGACCTGGGGGCAGATGATTTCGTGGATACTTCGAGCACCATCTCGATGCTCAGGGCTGCGAACAGCATCGATGTCTTCATAGACACTTGCCCGGTGAACCAGGACCTCGATGAGATGCTGAGGCTCTGTAAAATCAACGGCACCCTTGTTCGAGTCGGCATCCCTTTTGTGCAGGAAGAGGCTCGGGCAAGCTGGCACCCGCTCATCTTCTCTGCTAAGAAGGTCACAGGCTCCATTGCCTGCGGAACGAAGCACACCAAAGAGATGCTTCACCTGGTGGCCAACGACGACTTTTCGAAGACGCCTTGGGCAGTTGCCAAGGTCATGCCATTCTCAGAAGTGAACGAAGCCATGAGGTTACTGCAAGAGCAACGGATGGAGTCGTTTCGTATCGTTCTTCAGTGGTGATGCGCTCTATTGCAACTTCTGTCTGTTTGGATTGCCTATTTAGTTGCTTGGCTCGCGCCATTCGCGCCGCTTTGAAGTCGTTTCACTTTTGACGCCGTGATGTGTCGGCTTGCTCGCGCTTGTGGCACAAAGCAGTTTTCGAATCCCCCTCATTTTTTCAAAGATCCCCGAATTGCGGTTGGTGTGAAACACCATGTTCTTGGCGCAAGAAGCACCGTAGGTGAACTTGCAAAGCTGCCGAGTTGAAAAAGAAGGAGGGCCGCCATCTCCAGAGGATGAAACTCATTAAGCCCCGCAAACTTACTGGAAACCGCTAACACCCTGTAATAAGCGCAAACCCCACTCCGTAGTCCTGCGGCCAGATTCTCTAAAGATCTGGTGCCCAGGTTCGCGCAGCCCGACACTGCTCTTCCTCCGCCTCCTCACGAGCACAAGCAGCCAGGTGAGGGAGGTGCGGCCGTGGGCGCATGCTTCAGAGACTTCGAAAGAGAGTGAAACCAGAAAACAAACGCCGGGTGGCATGTTGAAGAGTTGAGGCAATCCACAGAGCTTCTTCCCGGCGCCCACCAGCGACGTGGACTTCAAGTCGGCACCGCGCGTCCCTAGGGATGTGCCGGCGCAGAATGAGGAGTCCCACACCATCCGGGAAGAGCCTCCCATGGACAAGGACCCAACGCCACAGTCCGAGAGGAAGCCCACGCCACAAAGTGCACGATCAGTCGGTGTGGCCCTCAGCCCTCCAGCAGCCTATGCGGGGTTGATATGGCTTTGTGCAAGCCGAAACCCGAAACCCTAAACCCGAAACGCCGAAGAAGCCCCCAGGTGCCCCGCAGAGCTTCTTCCCGTCGCCCAGCAGCGGGGTGGACTTCGCCTGAGCCCTCCTGAAAGGGGGGGGGGAGGGGTCGATCTGATCGGTTGCGTGAAGTTTCATTAAGGTACTTATTGAGTATAGGGGAAGAAGTAGGAAGTACCGTAGACAGAGTTATGACCTGGGTTACCCCTACTTACAACCCTACTGCTAAGTATCCGTGAACCTCAAAGTAAGGCCCTTTTTAAGGCTAACGCTGGTTCCTGTGTTTGCCACCATAACCTGGGCTGAGAGCCTTTCTAGGGCGTAGGGCTTCTTATTTGTTAGGGTTTGGGGCCTCTACAGTTTTTTTTTGTCCCCGGTGTCTAGGGCTTTAGGGACATTAAGGGGCTATCAGTGTTTTGGCCGTCCGGGTTGATCTAATGTTGGAGCTTTGTCTTGGGTACCATACACCAGGACGAATTTACAATAATGCAAAAGCTTACGAACATCAATAGTAATCATACTAATACGAGAAATAAGTAACAAGAAAGATCCCGCAGTATGTAGATGAACCCTGATGAACCCTCAGCTGTCGCAATGCAGGCAGGTTGAAGTTGAAGGTAGGTGCTTGAATCGGTGTCATCATGGCGTCCGGCACGAAGAGATTTGTGCTGGTTTCACATCAGCTGAGCCTCACATCAGCTGAGAGACGTCTCTGCAAGAGCGACAAAACCTTGAGCGTTGCACCGTCTTGGTGGCTTCACGCCGAGCTACACAGCGCTTGCGCATCATGTCAGGAAGGCCCAATCTCTGGGTCGCCATCAGTTCACTCATTTTCTCGTCCTCTACCGTGGGCAAAAGCACGTGCGCCCTCTGGGCATCACCCCGAAGCTTCCCCGTACGCCAAGATCACCTGAAGATTTCGAAGGGTGTCGAGGCTTCAACTTGCCATTCACGCAGGAGCGGCTTCGCCGCGCTGAGGAGGCGGGCCCAAGCCGTACCATTTGTAGTCATGAGTATAGGAGCGCCTCCTGACCCCGAGACTACAGCCGGCTGCTTCTGCTGCAACTTGTTGCAAACGACTAGGACGAAAGCAAAATCTTTTTTGTGCGCATGGCAAACTACTCCGGCAACGACTCGGAGTTCAAGTAGAATAGCATCACCGGCCCGAGGTAGATTCACAGCATTCGTAGAAAGAGGATCAGATTAGCAGAAGCTGCAAACACATCAGCAGCAGAGCTTGTGCCACATCCATTGAGCAAAATTGTGGCGATCATTGTCGCCACCGACGGCAAGCACCCTGACTCCCCTTCCTTGATACAACCATTTCAGCCGTAGCCAGGTGGACCTGTTGAAACACTGGGAGGGTGCGGGGTGTCGTGTGTTTTGTTGCCGATGTCCGCATTTGTATCGTTTTTTGGCTGCGGATCGGGTTGAGTTGCCCGTCTCGCCGAGAGTGTTTTTTACGATTGCGGGGCAGTTGGCGGCTGTTCAGATGCGGCCTCCCTGGTCTTCCAGTGCGTTCTCACATTGCTATGTGAGGGCGCTATCGCGCACGCACCACGTATGCGTAAGCAACTCAAGCAACAAAGAAAGAAGAGTGGCTGCAACTCAAACTCGCCAGTAATCAGCAGTACAGCATGGGTTTTGTGGTACATAGCATGCGCACAGGGCAGAAGTGCAAAAAATGCTATTTGGCAAGCACTTGCTGGAGCCATGGGGGTTTAGGCCGAGAGAGCATGCAGGATCGCGATCGCAAAGTTACACCGCGAGCTTCGGATGATCCTGTGCGGGCCCGAAATCGAAATGTAAATCAGAATGCGGCTCTGCCCAACCGGGGCACCAAACCCGATTGAGGCGATGATGCTTGCTCTGCTCACAACCCTGACTGTTATGTACACGCATAGACATCTTCCGGCTACTCTTCTTATGATTGCTGCTGAAAGTTTTGATCTTGTTCCATACTATTGTAAAGTTGGATGCAATCTTATATGTATAGATCTCCGCACAATTATCGATCACAATGATCTACGTCGTAGTTTTACGCAAAGTTTCTAGACATAATTCTATACGCAGTTTCATACATATCTATACGGGAGTATATAGACCCCCCCCCCCCCAAAGTAGGATCCCCTTATAAGAAGGACCCCCCATCAAGGTACCCCCCTAAACCCTAAACCCTAAACCCGAAACCCTAAACCCTAAACCCTAAACCCCTATTATCGTAAACCGTAAACCCCCATATCCATAAATCTGCCCCGCGCCTCGCCGCCCAGGTCCAGTCCGAGCTCCGGCGCCAGGTGGCCACGGCCAACGCCGCCGCAGAGGTCCCAACCCTAAACCCTAAACCCTAAACCCTAGACCCTAAACCTCCTAAACCCTAAACTCTAAACCCTAAACCCTAAACCCAAAACCCGAAACCCGAAACCCTTTCAGGTTTGCAGGTGGGGGGCCGACCGGGGGGGGGCGATGGGGGGGGATGATTTGTTGGGGGGTTTCGGGTTTGGGTTTAGGGTTTAGGGTTTTGGTGTGCTTTTTGCGGGGGCGCTGGTGCTAGGGCCCGCTCGGGACATTCACAGGAACGCCAGCTCCGAAACCCTGAATGTCCAAATCTTCGCCCCAGTAGGCCCCTTGCTTCTTGCAGGCCCTGCGGGACGAGGTAGTTGCTTGTGAGGAGGCGCAGCGTCGTGAGTTTGTCGGTGTAGATGAAGCTGGCTTTGTTACTGCTTAGATCTTAACGGAGGAGTGGAGGTGTGGTTAACCACCCTATAGTCACTCCTGTATAACCCGCGTAGAATGCTCCTATATTCACTCCCCTCGCTCCTCCTCAAAGTCGTAGGTCCCCCCAAAAGGGTGCCAAAAATCCAAGACTTAGAGTGCCAACAACTATTTGGGGATACTCCTTTAAACCCTAAGCCCTAAACCCTGAGGGGGCTAACATGGGAGGTTTGGGGACGGTTCGTGACAGGCACCAAAAACAGCCGAGCCCCGCTTGTGAGAGGCGGTGGCCATGGAGCGGCAGCGATCCCTCCGCCTGGAGGCTCTGGGACAAGCCAGACTCCACTGATGCACTCGTTTCCGCAGGACTTACGAGCTACCAATCTCTTCATAGTGAACAGGATTGAAAGAGTATTTGCAGGTTTGCAATTCTCCTCCTTGTCATCTGTGTACCCTGAACCCTAAACCCTAAACCCTAAACCCTAAACCTGAAACCCTAAGCCTTAAACCCTAGAGGCCGAGCTTCGGGAGAGCCGAGACGAGCTCGCCGACCAGAAGGCTCGCGTGCAGGCCTGGACAGGGGCATCGAGGGGTCTGAGCTGTTCAGGGCTTGAAGGGGGCTCCGGCGTTCGCAGGCTTGAGGGCTGAGGGCTTAGCGTTCAGGATTTTGGGGCAGCCTTCCGATGGCATCTCTCCAAGCTCAGACGGCTCTGGCAACGAGAGGTGGTCGTAGATGTTACCGGTTTGAACGTGCTCCTGCGGCAACGGACGCCACTTCCTCCATGTCCTGCCCGGACAACCATGGCAGCATCATCGGCGTTGACGTGGATGGAGACCTACTTGTTTGCATTGAAGATGGTCGGGGAAGGCTGAAACATTGCGTACATTGCAAAGTGTACTAGGACCATCAACAGTTGGCGCGCTCGTACCGCTCGAAGTGCACCAGGCTACTCAGTCTGGGCCATCGGGCCAGATATGTGTGCTCGTGGAGAGAACGGGCGGTCAGCCATATGGGTTCGACAGCTGACTGTCCCTGACTTATCCCATCATTGAGGCTTAGTGTCTTGCAAAGCTATACATCCCAATAGACCAAGGTCTAGAGGGCTCATTGAAATCCCGTTCCCAACGTGAGGTGCTCTACCCAAAATCCTGAACTGCAGGTACTCGTAGGTTGGGAACCCCCAATGCCATTTAGTCGGAAACTTGTTGTGAGTATCCCTTACAATATTCATGATCTATCTTTGGGGTGGCTCTCTGGGAGTTGCCAGGCATTGGAGACCGTGGCTTCCAGAGGCGCGTGGGGAGCTGTGTTCCTCGGTTATTCGGCTTACGGCCCGGGGCTTAGGCTTGGCTTTCAGGGGACTCTTCAGGGTTTTCATCAGGGTTTTCCAGGGCTTTCAAGGCTTTCAGGGTGGGGTGTAGGTTTTGGGGACGGGAACAGGGAGGTGGGGGAATACGAGAGCGACCCACCATGTTGGTTTTGCTTCTCTTGACTGCAGGCAGTTCTGGCAATCCTCGTTCCAGGCAGAGGTGCCAAGAGCGTTGGCGTTCCTATGGCTGATCGCAAGGATTCACGAATCTCGTTTTGTTTCAGGCGCTCCCAGGCGAGCATCCGCACGGCCTCGCCCTCGACACCGGCGTCATCCCGCCCCCCCCCCCCCCTTCTTGATGCTGTTTGTTCATGGTTTTCAAACCTGCCAAGCTCAGGACTTGGCAACCCCTGCACTGAGCGAGGAGAGGGCAGGGGAACGAAGCCCATCCGGTGTAACACGGCGCGGGCACCAGGAGCTACATGATGCACCGGATGCTGCGGCTGGGCCAAAGGCCGGAAGAGAGCTGCAGTGGGGCATTGAGCAGCTGTTCAGTGCGACGTGCTCGGGACTTCGATTTGGATGCAGGTTGTGCCAGCTGCAGCATGCGACCGGCCCGCATCTGAGACAGGCCATGTTGTATTCTGCTTGTCCTCTACGAGCTGGCGCAATGGCTTAGCTTCATGATGCTTTTCCGTCTCGAGTCTCAAGCTTTGCTGCTTGTGCGTGCTGCTGTTTCTGGGCCCCTAGAGGCCCCACTGGCAGCCCCACCCACAGTGTACTCTTCATCCCCGGGCTTTTCATGTCAAAGAGCCGATGACCTGAGGAAGGCGAGACTGCAAGCGCAGCTTGCACAACGAGGCACCCGTGCCAGATTTCAACAGTTACTTGTAGAGATCGTGGCACTTCCACACAGAGTTCCGTTTGGCTGAACTGCTCACAGGCGTTCAGAAGATCCAACTGATGGAGTCGTGCTGTGCCCAGACGAAGAGTATCCACACTTTGAGGTATTGGAGTTGGGTGTGCCTGGTCTCTAAATGGTTGACCTTTTTTGTGTGCCGGAGAGTTTTTGGACCTTGGTGGGGTCTGAGGCCAAACAGACAAGGAGAGGGCAAAGTGCCAAAGAGCTCTGAGGGCCCTGCCCGCGCCAGTGGCGCAGGCGCGAAGCTCGAAAATCTCGACAATATGCGTTTTGCACGGCTCTTTGCTCTCCGCCTTGGTGCGAAGGCCGTCACCAGTCATCTGCGAGGCTGGATGCCTTGGTGGTGTTTCGTAATTTCAGGGCGAGTCTTTGCATGTGGACCTCTTTGTCTCTGTAATGCCGACTTGTGGTGCCGGGCATGAGGATTGAAGCTCCCTAAGCCTAGGATCCAAGCTGCCTAAACACTGGATCCTCCACGTGACTTTAACTCCTCCTCGCGCCCAGGCAGACCGGGATGCCTGCGGACATGCGCTCCCTTAGCAGGCGCGGCAGCTGCGAGCTTTGCGAACCCAAGTCAGCGCAACCTTGTTACTTTGTGCTTGTAGGTCTTATCGTGCACCCCCCAACGCTAAGCGGTAGGGCCCTGAAAAGTCTCAGTATCCTTTTGTATTCCTTCATCTGAGATTTCCCGTGGATGGATCCGGGGTGGCACGGCGCGGGAGATGTATGTGTAAAGGTGCATCGAGGATTTTTTAGGGCTGGTCGTGGATTATTTGCCGAGTCGGCGGACGCGCTTGCTGACTCGAGGCTCCTCTCTGGCAGTGGGTGGTTGGGCAGTCCGCCAGCTTCTGGATGAGGCGCCATATCGTTGTTACAGGAGTTCCCCCCTCCCCTCCGCGCGGCCCCCCCCCTCCCCCCCTCCGCCCGTTCCCCCCCCCCCACTCCGCCCCCCCCCCCCCTCCCCCCCCCTGCCCCGCCCCCCCCCCCCCCCCCCCCCCCCCCCCCCCCCCCCCCCCGAGGCTTTCATTTTCGGAGCGATTTTGAGGGTTCGAGGGTTCGTTCATTTTAAGGGTTCGAGGGGGTAAACCGGTTTTTCCTTCTTCAGAAATTTCGAAGTTTTGAGAATTCTCCATAATTCTCCCGCCTGTCCGGTATGGGCTCAAGCTTTTGAGTGCACGAAAAGGTGGCCAGGCCTCTGCGACAGCAGCCTCAGCATGGCGTGTTCTCGCGAGCTGCTAGGGATATTCCTTATGGCTGCATCTGGACTCGCAGTGACTTGCGAGATGGTTACGAGCAAAATCATCGAAGACTTGCTCTGGCCGTACTGGTACCTCTTGGCAGCTTGCTGTGTTGTGGCCACCTCTGGAAACGGGCTGTTCCTGTGGTGGCAGGGCATCAGGTGTCCTTCGCTCCGAGATATGAGGTGGGTGCTTTCACGATCCATGTTTGAGAACCTGCACTGGATGCTGGCAATCCTGGCCGTTCTCATCGGAGCCGCACCGGGGGATGTTGCAGCGCTCACCAGCATCGACATCATCGTTGCGGCACTGTTGGGTCTCATGTTTCTGGGGGAGCGAGTCGGCATCCTACATCTCCTTGCCCTCGTTCTATCAGTCACTGGTGTCATTTGCATCTCGCAGCCGCAGTTTCTGTTTGGTGTCGAGGAGGCACATCCCGTTGGATACTGCCTGGCGATATTGTCGGGGTTCTTCCAAGCATGCTGCTATGTATGTGCTCGGAAGTCTGCCCACATCCCAGTATCCCTACTCACAGTTGTGACACTACTTTTGGCGGTGCCGCTATGTCTTGTGCCACCGCTTCTCCACATTGGCCAGCACAGCTTCGAGCCTGTATCCGAGGCACCCTTGCAAGCTCTAGGTTTTCTCGCTCTGTTAGTGCTGCTTTCGGTGCTTTCTGTCGCCATTCCAGCAGCTGGGGCCACAAGATGCCCAGCCGCGGTCAGCGCCACAGTCTTCACGTCTTCCAGCATGACTACGGGCTACGTGGCTCAGACTGTCCTTTTCGATGATGTCCCCAAGCCACTGAAGCTTTTTGGAGCCGTGTGCATGCTGTTCAGCGTGGTGTTGATGGCGGTCCACTGCCAGAGATCGGTTGAGGAACCGGAGCCTTCCTGCGCAGTTTGTTGTGCCGATTCTTCGCCAGGGCCTGTACCCAGTGTCATTGCGAAGGACGAAGAGACGCCAAGCTTCGGATCCTGTTTCGCCTTCAAAGTTTCTTTCGCACGGAGCACCTGCCGACTACAACACCACGGCGACAGCGGAAGCTCTTCCTGCTCGGTATCTTCCTAAACCCGTCGGTGATGGCTGATATACTGGCTGTATTCTCCACATTGCAGATGACTATTCCGTTGACTACGTTTACAGTGATGAGGCACGATACTTCATGACAATCGCACCGGGTGGTCGAGGGGGATCGCTGCAAGCCCGGAGGCCAAGAGTCGCCTCTTCATCATCTGGATGCTTGATACCTCTCCGCACCTTTTTCTCGGCTCACCACCAAGCTAGATCTGCAAGCCTGCACACAATGAGCTTTTCTGCTCTGTCGGGCACACGGTCCTACTTGATGGAGCTTACTGCGATAGCGCAAGATTGTCATAGTGGCACGAGCATGGCAGCTGGCCTGAGGTGGCTGTTTGCTCACGGCCCCATCTGGACTTGCAGAGACTCGCGGTGAGTTGTGAGATGGTCAGCGGTAAAACCATCGAGGCCATACAAGTGCCTGTGTGGTATGGGGGGCTGCCCAGAGCTACGATGTCACTAAGGGATTGCGGGGCCTCCTTTCGACCATTGGATGATGGTTATTATGAATTTGATGATCATTCCTTCGGCGCCGGCTCTGGTGCTGTCAGTCGCTGGCGCCACTTGCATCTCGCAGTTTCCGGCATCGTCCTGATGCTGGTGATTTGCCTCTAGTGCTCGCCCAGTAATTCAGAAACTTTTGGGGGCGTTCCTTCACGTCGAGCTCCAGCCAGCTGCGGAAGCTGCTGAAGCACAGCAGCATTGGCATCTCGAAGCCGCGTGTCATCGGAGTGACATCTCCGGCATAGTTTCGCTTTTTCTTGGCATGCACAATTCGACGCGCACTATGATGCGAAGTGCAAAAAGTCGTGCCGTGTAGTGTTGGTAGGCACCGATCTAAGAGCACAGCGCACCGCTTTAGACGGGCCTTTCCTAGTCTTGGCTGCTTGGGGCGATACTGGAAGAGTCATGTCAAGGTAGGTCTTGCTTGGTTCCACGGAATGATTGCGTGCATTTCCATGGCATCTGCTGATCAGGCCGTGGGATGTCTATATCCCCCACCTCCACACCAAATGGTGCAGGACGGTTGATAAGAGCAACTGGTTTTTCCGACCCGGACAAGTCATTGCAAATCGATGCAAGACAGAGGCACCAAAGGTGCGACTAATTGGTGAATTGGAAGCCGTATATGGCCGTGTGTGCAGACCACCTGCAAAAGCATTCAGGATCGGGAGCACGCGTTGCCAGACGACGGGTGTATGCATATCGGGAAAATTGAACGCGGCCAAAACAGGCATAGGCTGTTGAACTTTTGACATGCCATACTGAATACTAACTGCTGGGTTTGTTGTAAGGCTGAAAGAACCAGTTTCCCCCGCCTCA